GGCAGCTCAAATTCAATAGAAACTCAGAGATTGGTTTGTTGTATAAGAAACAGATAACCTTATAGAAATTTTTTTGCACAAACGCCCAATACGCAATTACTGTAAAGTGAAACCAAATGTCCATTCTATCATCGCAAGTAGAATCGTTTCATCGCTCCTATATTTGCATTGGATTCGTTTCATACATCGTATGAAAAACCATAAGCCTTATTGTGACCTCTCGCCCAGCAGGGTATAATAAAATTGAGATGGAAATGTCGTACTGGTCCTTCCAATCACGTTGTAGACTTTTACATATCAGTGTCTGCCAAAGCCATATTCAGAGCAAACACCACATAAAATATAATATACCGAACTTGTATACAACTCATTCATGTAAATTGTAAAGCATCGGATATTGCAATTGCCAAACTCAGCTTGTAAATATCATTTCATCACTTCTACATCGATATCAAGCATACTTTGTGCTGTGCTTTGAGGTGTGAAAGGAATACAACAGATATATTATATGGTTTATTTGAATATAAGTCCGAATTTCTCAAAAATAAAGATGAATGTTCTTCGAAGAAAAAATCGAGTTCGCAAGTTACTGATTTAATTATTATGATCCTATCCTAGACTACTGTTTGTAACATTTTCTTTCGACGACACAGTTCACGATTAGAGAAGAAAAAAAAAACAAATTACGAAATAGCTCAATGATGGAAACAATTTAATGACGCACAAACACGTCAGATCACAGGTCAGCATAATCTGGTGTGAAAATTGTCACAGCTGGATACTTTCATAGGAGATGAAGTCACTGTTTTGAATTTGAAAAACAACATCAATTTTCGTTACATCTTTAATTTTTTTTTGTCAAATTTAATTAGAAATCAGTCGAATCGTGATTACAGAAGTAGATGGTGTTACAAGTTTAACGTCGTGTCACGAAAATTCCCGTTGGTTATTCAATACAAATGGCACTTTGAACATCTCGTAAATTCCACGAGAGCCATATACGATGTAACGTTATTAAGTACCGTATGCTGATCGGCACTGAGCCTGGTATGCAACTGCTAATTTCTTGTCGACAACTTATTCTAAGAAAAAATTGTCAATTGTCATGCATGAACTTGACGATGAAATGCGACTTAACAACGAGCCACTAAAATTATTGTATATCAACACACATAAAAAGCAAATATTTTGTTATAATCTGTCCTAAGAGAGGATGGTCACTTGCGATATATGCGCGGCAGTATCCACTTGTATATGAGCACTACTGGAATCCACTCTCAGTTAAGCATTTGGTATTATGAGTAATCCATTCTGTCTAGATGAAATTTAAATCTTATACGATATTACCATAATATACCATAGACTTCTTAATCTCGTTTACCTGGTACTAAAGCGATTACATTTCTCAAAATGGCGTCGCATGAAGGTTGGGCTTTACCACTCTGCGACAAGGGCGCTGTTGAAAAACGACACCATTAACTAGAGTGAGCGTAGAAATACATTGGCCATCCGTTTCTAGTCCGCTATTTGCATAGTTTTTAGAATAATACAACACAGCTTGAGATTTTGTATTCACTTTACTTTTAATTGGATGCGATATTCGACATTACAAGATTAGCATATGTATATTTATATATATCAGTCTCGAGTTAAATGCGGCTTCCAAGTAATATGCAAATTGATAACAAATTTTGGTAAAATTTATCATTTTTCTACGGAACTATTTAAAGCCGAAAAGCGCGGTTCTCATTTTGCATGTTGTTTATTTCTATCTCATAAAACGAATAGTTCCCACGGTCAAGACAATGACGATGTCATAAGAGATATAGCTTATGATTATTATCTAAGAAGAAGAATGTCATTCCTCGAGACGTGACGCCCTTGTCAGATCCGCATTTCCGAAAATATTATTATTTTCGTAAAATAGATGCCTTTCACAAGAATGGTTTATAGATGAAACATTGTTCAATTTATATCAATCATGCTTGGGGAAGTATGAGACCGGAAAAGGATAGTTTTTATCGAATATGAGCGATAAAAAGATTTGACAAACTTGGTCGGTAAACATCGCCGTCGCTTATTATACTTAAATACCCCTCTTCAATCGTTTTTGTGTATTTTTCTCACACTGCTAAGTTAACAAATGGCGTTTCCGACTGATTGCCGTCATAATTAATCACGCCATAAAAATACTAATCGTCGACGACGAATCCAGTTCGAATCGATGTTAACCGTTGGTCGCACCCTCTTTTGCAGAAAATAAATCGATACTCTTACAGTTTCTCTATCTTATTGTAAAGTGGTAATGTCTGATGAGTCCAACTTTCTTCCGGTACAAAATGAATAGTGTAATTATTCTTTGAGAACATTTGTCTGTTATTTAAAATTGCGATAAAAATTACAAAATACTTTCCGCGTCGATGACAAAAACTCAAATTAATTACATTTAAAGTTCGTGTTAACACTTTTACATTCTATTACAATTTGTCAGCTTTGTCACAGAATTTGTTTATGTATTTTAAAAACAAAACAAACAATAATTCTTGTATTTTAATGTCGGAGTCCGAGCAATATCCGGCCACGATCTTTTTTAACATTTTCGCCTATCGGTCTATCTGCCTCGTTTTGCCTCGGGCACTCGTCTCGCGGTATGGGAACCGTCGAGAGAGTATTTTCCCACACTAGTAATGTTTACGAGATCGGTCCTTTGGGTAACCGCGCGCATGACAGAGATATGTGACGACGGCGGGCGACCAAGTTTCATCAAATTATAACATAATCCCGTTATGCGAGATGAGAATTACTCGGTCATAAACCGTGGATTTTGATTTTTGTCAATTATGACACATCGAAGAATACTGTGATTAAGTCGAATATTCTTTTTTACAGACAATCACGTTTTGATTTGATTGAACAGTCAATCTTGACCAATGATATATTTTGGTCACAAGTTCAAAATAGTGACCATCGTAATAAAACACGCGCCATCAGAGAAGAAACAGGTGTAGCAATATTAAAGATAACTAAATTAGAAAACCTGGTATTTTGAAACAATCAAATTATTATTTGAATAATGTTTATATTTGAAAACTATTTTTTATGTTTTTGTATTTCGATATTTCGACATACATTGTTTGACATTATGAAAACATGAATCAAAACGACAAAATAGTATAAATATCGTCTGCTCTAAATATTGCCAAACCGCAAATATAAGAGCATTATGAAATGTAAGAATATTTATATTTTTGAAATATTATTATTCGGCTGAGTATTGTTAACTTCTGTAACCGAACTAATCTTGGTTGAAACTATGCATTCACATAAAATTCCTGTCAAGTATATTTAGATATAGAATTGCCGATATTAATATCCATGGTTAAAATAATTCAATACTTTTGCTGAACAATGAGAAATTTCAAATATGACGTGAAACAGGATAAACTAGGGATGTAAGGTTATATTTTATTTCTTATGGGGAAATATATTCCGTTTCAATTATTTAAAAAGCAAAACTTTCAAAACGTTTACTAATTTTTAAGACGCAATTTAAATCTATTTAAACGGAAATTGGATATTAAAATGATTTAGAACCATTAAAAACTATTGATTCTCTTGACGTTATAGATACATACAAACTGACCGATATTGCAAACACCACAACGCTTTAATTGAAAATATTATATACACAAGTATTAATAATAAAAAGTGTCATTAGATTTGTATACAGTTCAGATAGATCAGATATTTTGAAATATTTAGTAATATTTTTATTCATTTAATTTCATCATTCTATCTTTTTAAGTTTTAATATGCTGTGAGATTTATGTCAAGTCGTGTTTTTTTTGTTTGTTACACATTTGAATATTGGAGAGCTAATCAAAATTGGTAAATTCTACTTTTCCTAGTCTTCGACTCCTCGCCCGCGTCGGACTCGAATTGAACGCGTGGGAAAGTACGTCATACTCGAGTATAAACTAATATTTCCACGGCTTATCAAATTTACAACAGTTCAAATGTAAACAAAGAAATTTATTGAAGTTGATACAAATCGATCATTCACCGCAAAATTAATAAAAAGAAAATGACATTTTGCATTTTATAAAAATTGGACTTTTTATTTTAGGCTTTTAAGTTTTTAAAAATTGTTCTAGTGAGACAAAATATTGTATTAATTGAGCTTGATTTCCTGCATATTTTATAACAAAAGGGTTTTTATGAATGCCAAATTTGGATTGGAAGTAATAAAAACTCTTATGCCTGATCACAATTGTTCGAATCAAATCTCTCACGAATCAAGCTTGAAACAGGCATGTCCACAAATCAGTATTATCATTGTCAAACAGCACAAACGGTTCTACCAATATCGTGGGAAATGCAAACAAAGTTATGACAATCTGACGTCTTCAAATATTTCATTGTAACAATTGAACAATATGTGCACATAGTGATACACACCCTATCAACCGACACAAATTTAAAAGAATAATAAAGCTAGATAATCTACAGTCAAACATGAATGATGTGTCCTTACGTTTGGTTTATTGACCACCCTTCGCCAAACTCCGAAAAAAAAGAGAATGAAGGTATTGACGGCGAGGAAAGGATTAAAGCAGGAGTGTTAAAAACGTTGACGACGTGTTGAGCCTTAAATCACTCTTGTCTCATTTTGCTGACTTTACGTAAAATTTATAAGAAGAAAAAAGGCAACGACGTTAATTTTTTTTCTAAATTTGTTCGATCGCCAGGCTCGTGCCTGCCTCGTGCACAACGCGCGTCGAGAGAAAGAACCTCTCACCCGGAGCATGCAGGAAGTTGTGTCCGATCTTGTGTATGAAAGATTAGTAACTTGAATAATACTCGCCTTTGTCAGGGAGGATAACATTTTGTCGGATCAAACTCGAAATTCCACAAATAGTAATTTAGTTAATAGTTTATTTCTCTGTATGGGAACAACAATAAAACATATTACAAATATTTATCGTAGTAAATTTCTCATTTTTAGAGTTAAATAATTTAAAAATAGAAAATGCAACCGAATGAAATGGTCGATGAAAGTCAACAAGGAGAAGAAATTGATTCCTCTGGAAGTGCTTGTGGTGACAATCCCAAGGTGGATATGATATTTAAAATGATATTGGCTACAGCGCATTTGCCTGCCAAAGTAGGAAAATTCAGATATATTTTACCGATATATGGGATTGAGATAAATTAAAGTAATTCACTATTGGATTAAGATATTTTCTATCGAGAATTCTTAATGCTGATGTCCTATTCGCATCCAGATCTTTATTTATTTGCGATTGTATTACGTGGAAATATATTGTCATAGACGAAATCCATATATCTTCAAAAAAGTGTGTTTTATTCACTTCGATTTGGTCTCGAAAAGCACAATTATAAAGCTTGACAACTATAGAAAATTTCTCAAATGTGAATTGTAGATCCCATTGTTTTGTAGTTTAAGAGAAACAATCCAAGTCATTGTTTTATATTTTCGTTTATTTAATTGCAAATTGATTAAAATTTCAAATCAATTATAGATATAAATAATTTATTGATTGCAGTTTAATTTGATTCTTAAATTCCGTCACAGGACATGGTGTAATGTATACTGGTACATCATTCCTATTTTATTGAACTCGTTATTTTCTGGATCAGACCCAAAATACAAACAAAACAAGGTTACGTTTAATACAAAGGGGCCCAAGTTATTAAATAATAAAATACTTTCAGTTAAGGTCAGTTAAATATTCAAAATATAAGAAGACAAAAAGTCTATGTCAATTTGATTGGTCGCACCTGGAATAATAATGCAAAATGGCTGACGGCAAACTTCACACGAAACTCTCTCGAAATTATGAAATTATGACAGGTTGTATATCGTAAAACACTGTTTAGCGCATCTTTATCGATGCGATCCATTCAGTTATGTTAAAAATTCCATCAACATAAAATGTTACTTTAATAACAGATAGTATTCTGTGATTTCAATGATTATTTGTCATATTTGTTTGATTCTTTTGAATTAATATTTTTTCATATTTTATTTATTATCTGCTCTGTAAACAAAATTAGGCGCAATTGAACATCGAAAAATATATCAATTTTATTAGGAAGGACGAATATTCTTTAGCTGAAAGATTCAAGATATATGTCCGAATGTACGCTGAAAATACTATCACTCTGTTAAAATGGGTATTTAGGTAGCGCGATGTTCTGTCCTGTTTAGGTTAGTAACATATTTTTCTCTTTGAATTTAAACCGATAACCGCTCATGCAACGATCTTGATCTCCAAATTCCCCAATGATTTCAAATTTATTCATAATTTACAAAATAATAACAAACCAATTTTTTCTAAATCTTAGTCTTCAAAGCCGATGATGGAGAAGAGACGAAGAGCAAGAATCAACAACAGTTTGAACGAATTAAAAACAATTCTACTTGAAGCTTTGAAGAAAGATGTTAGTCGTTTTTACCAATACTTTCTATACATATATATTTTTATTAAAATACTCTTGAAGTAGAATTGAATCAGATCTTCATGTAATTTTTTATTTAGCGAAGGAAATGAATATAATATAATGTTGTTATTGAATTTGAAATTCGGGTTATTTAATTGTTAACAATTGTTTTATGCGGATGAAAAATATTCCTATAACATCGAATCATTTATAAAGTTAAAGCAATTTATACAAAAGTTTATGAACTTTGCTATATAAACAATGCAAATTCAGATATAGTGTAGGAATTCGATTCGTGAAATCTTACTTGAACAACCATCGATTCAATTTGGTGGCTTGGATACACGTGTACATAATGGAGAATAAGCAAATAAAAATGTGCGACGGCTACGCCATTTTGTTATACTTGTTTGAAACTCATAATAAAATACATATAACCGATGCTTTGTTCCATTGGTGGATTTGCTGGAGTAAATGAATTTTGCTCCACCAGAAAGGGAAAAATATTTGAATTCTTCCGTGATAGATGTGATCAACTTAAAACATTAGGACAATAAAAAGTATTGTATTTTTTTACTTTAAAAATTTGTATGTTTCACAAATAATGGACCTTTCCATGAACTAATTTTATTTGATTTCCCGCTTCAATATTGAAACTGCATAAACTAAGGTTAAATTTGTAGTTATATTTTCAGACCACGCGACATTCCAAGCTAGAGAAAGCTGATATTCTGGAAATGACCGTGAAATATTTGAGAAGACTTGAACGACAAAGAGTCACAGGCGAGCGGCATATAGTATTTCTAGAATATTCAAGTGACATATTTGCGTATAAATTATAGACATACTTTGAGGGACATTAATATTATTATTTAATGGGTCTTATATAACCGGCGTAGATTTGTGCACCAGGATTATAGTATCTTCCGTTAGATGTTCAAATGCTTCTTTCCGTTATCTGGACCAAGGTTGTAGCTGAACAGTAAGCTTTGTTGGCACAGAACCATTATGGCGTTATACTGAGAAATCTTTCATTTATGACAGAACCAATTTGAATAATATTACTGCCGTCGCATTTTTCACAAAGTTTTTGCATATTCTCAACGTATGCATATCATTGAACAATTATTCAATAACACCCATAAATGTATGAAAGTCAAATATTTCGGTGTTGGACAACAATAACAACGAAAGGTTATTATAGAAAATGGAGACCGTACATTTGAACCCATGTACATTTGAACCCATGCGTTCAATCTATATGCGGGTGCTAAAACCCATGCGTTAGGGTTAGTATGGGTTTAACTATCCGTAAAACAAAAAAAATTCCATAGGTGCAATTGTCATGGGTTCAAATGTACGTGGGTTCAAATGTAATGGAACCATAGAAAATATAATGCAGAAAATTTAATGATCCTTCTGTTATTGCATTATTAAACTCACAAACTCACATTTTACAAACTTTTAAATCGCGGCTTCATGTTGCTCAACGTAATATTTTTTCCCATATTCACTCAAGTGACTTCTGTTTTGATAATTAAGAGTTGCTAAGGCCGAAAATACTGTTTCACACAAAAGGGTATTAGGAAATCAGTATACAATTGACATTCTCCACTTGAAAAAAACCACCGAATGCTGAAGAACTGCCAAAACTTCATGGTTACGCGAAACCCCAGTTGAAAAGCACTGCTCTAGCTAGACGATTGTCGTTCAGAAATGGACTTGTTCGAACTCAGATACCATAGAATAAAATATATAAATTTCATATTATCATGAAAATACACAACGCATGCAACATAATATATTTCAAGTAATTAACACGATAAAAACATTTTCAATATCCTTATTTTTCTTTTCATGTCCAGCAATCAGAATGAACCCTGCAGTTGTTAATAAGTACAAGGCTGGATTTAATGAATGTAGAAACGAAGTTACGAAATTTCTAAGCACACATGAAGGCGTTGCAGTTGATGTTCGCACTCGACTGTTAAGCCATCTTGAAACTTGTCAAGAGTCTTTGCAGGTAACAGGATAGTATTTGTTCAAAATAAACTTTAAAAAATTGCACATTTTCAACTTTATAATGTGACACATCATTGACATAATGTATAACGCAATGGGATACAAGAAATTTCTACAACATTTGCGCAAGCACGGCTTAGATGCGAGTAACTACTTGGACTGGTTTCGACACAGAAGCAGTATATTTGGACGCAGTCAAATGATCTGAATTACAATGTCTATAAGCAAAGGACTCGATAATTACTTCTGGTTCAGAATAGATATGAAACTTCGGTCAGCTGGCATAAGAATATATTGTCTATTGCATTTTAAAACTGATAGTTGGCGCAAACGACACCAACCCGTTCGACATAACCAACCAACAATCTTGATTAATTAAGCGGTGCGTACATCTTCAGTCATTCGATTTCATTATGTTATTTGAATTATAGAAGTCCGCTGTACAATCAAGTTTAATTCTGATACGTAAATGTGTTTCAAACACACATATATAACGACAATGCTTAACATACCTGGCCCTTATCAGTCTGAGCTTACAAATGAATTACATCTTAAAGATTGAGTAATAACAAATAGCTGTTCAGCTATTTCATTTAAAAGTAGCGGATCTAATTGATTACCATCGATGGCTATTTAACGATGTCGATCGCAGGTAACATGCTTGTAATTGTTTCAACAAAATCAAATGTAACGTGGGCCTCAGGCATCTTGCCAGTGTTTTGAAATCAATGCGACGCGACTCTGTTCTTATTTTTTGATTCGGCTTTGAATTTTAATATTTTTTTTATATTTTTCTCTCATTCTAGCCGACAAGTCGTAAAAATGACAGTAAAAATTACACAGCATCCTTATTTCAATTTCAATCAATTTTACACGAAGGCATAGAGAAAATGGGAGTTCGACGCTGCTCCAATCGACTACAATTTATGTTTACTTATCATTGTTTAGGATCAAGATCAAGATTTTTCATGTGACGAGTTCGCCGACCAGCCAATGAGTTGGATGACCTCGCCAATGCAGAGTGACGATCAGACCAGTCCAAATCCAAAGTCACCAGCAACCAAGATATCGTGTACAACTTTGCGTAAAGAAGGTAATGGAATTGGGAAAATTATTTTATAAGTGTGTTTGCAAGTTGATCGTGGTATTTTCATAGATTATTTTCTGTTTACAGATTCACAACAAATCATTAACACTGGCAAAGAATTTTGTGGAGAACGCCATGGTGCACAAGAATCCCGATTTGTCGAAAGAGAATTTCAAAATGTAATATGTAGTTCCACAATTACGCCGCCATCTAGCGTCGAGATATCAAGCCATGCAAAAGGTTGCCACGCAGACGTCGCCTTTATACTACCACAAGTGGGGGCAGAGAGTGGATTTGTAGCAAACGTTCCTAACACAAGTAGTAACTACGGGCGGCCTGTTGTTTTCCAGGCTGTCCCTACCAAAGAAATCATTCCAGAAAATGAAGATTCTTATCGATCGATACAAACTGCAGGCCCATCACAGTCTGGTTTCCCGAATGCCGGCAGGATTGTTCCGTTAACAACTTCCAGCAGTAACTTAGACTTTGCAGCAGTTAAATATTTAATTCCTTTCACTGGAAATGAAGCAAATCCGCAGAATGTACAGGTTCCAACAGCATCATCGATACGCCGTGAAGCAGTGAATATGCAATGCAATGTGGAAACAGAGAATTACTCGACTGAATACAACTACATTCCACGTGAAAATTTGACAATAAATGCAACGACTGCAACAAGACAATATGCTCAAACATATAGCCATAGTCATTCAAATTATCAAAGTAATAAAAATCCTTGGAGACCGTGGTCTCACGATAATGTATCATAGCAAAACAAACAAAAAAAAAACTACAAATGTTCCAATGAGATATACGAATGCAATATTGACTCATGCAAATTTTGCATAATCGAAGAGTTCCATTTTCACGATTTCATGACATTTTTTTCAATGTTGTTTATATTTTATAAATGCTCATAATTTGTAACTCTAAGTAATCTTTAGCTAACGTTCCATAAAGTTCTTTGATATCTATCGCAGTCTCTCAGAACTGTAAATCATGAATATGCTGGCACACTGTCGAATATCTGTTTATTCAAAAGGCATTTTAGGGATATCTTTAGAAGTTGAGTATATTCATTAAAATCGATTTGGTGCGCCTGGATATACCGGTAGTTGTCAGACACATCCAGAAATCAAAAGTACACGTGACATACAAAACGACCAACGGAGATGGAATCGGTTTGAAAACCATTTAAGTATTGGAGATTTTGAGATCCACACCGCTACGACACTAATTTAGGTCCACATACGTGAAATTTAATGCCTAATTACAGTATAAATTTGAACCACGCATAAGCGCGTCTCATGTACATTTCCAACTTGAACAAAAAATATTGATGGTAATATATTGACGAAACTTGTACTCGACTTCGTATTGCTGATGTAATTTTATTCCATCTTTCCTGCGATATAAATATGTATCATCACATGAGAAAGATCAGAAGGAGCTATTGACCTTGAGAACATACTATAGATATCTTGGTCATTTCTTATTTGATTTAAATTTTTCCACAACGCAGTCACGTAATGAGAAAGCAAAATGCTTATGTGCAAAGAATGTTTACCTAGTTGCTTTTTATAAATTTACGCGTCATCTCGGAACACATGTAACTTAGTCAGTGCAAACTAACAATTCCGTTTACCAGTACCTACAACAAGATGTTCCAAAGGTTATTACTCTAAATCAAATTGATACAAGATGGATTATGTTTTGATTTGATTCAAATGTACACAACGGTATTTTGACTGACAGATTGGCGCGCCCGAATTGAGGACATGACAAGGGTGCGGGTGTCCAAACTATTTGATACCAGAGAAAAAGTTCGATAGTAAATATATATAAACTTGGGGTTATTTATTCAAATAGTTAATTTATAGAACTTTTATTCAAAACTAGTTTGGGATGTTTAACACGCATTTTTACGGAAGAACCACAACTGGTTATCGAGTAGCCACACCCAATTCAGAAACAATATTGAATCAATCATAGCAGTTACTCAGGCAGTCGTACCAACCCTAAAATGTGGCAAAAATATATAATTTGGCAGTAATTTTTGCAGGTAAGTATTTTCAGAAGAGTAACTTGCACTTTAGAAGTATAATTATTCTTCAGAAGAGTAACTGCACTTTAGGTCACACCTCTTAAGATGGGGACGTCAACTAGTAAAACCTGGATGATGCCCGCCATCAATAAATCATATCAAATCGTTGAAAAGTATGCAGAATGTTAAACAGAAATAGTAATCAGACTGCGAAGGCTGTTGTTCAGCTTTCATCTAGCAAGTGAGATCTTCAACCAACCAAACCTCAGTGACTCAATAATTAACACAGATATCAAAAAAAAATATAATTCATTCTTCTATATCTTATTTTATAGATACTACGAGCCGATGTAACAATGCAGCATGGCTCTTCCATCAATTTTCACCCCCCATTCTTGTACAACATAATTAAATATCTGAATCTGAATCGTAATATATATAGGGATTCGACGCTGCGGTGATATTTTAGGAGATATAGTAAACGTAATAATAGTTTAATTTAATAACGAAAACACTATGTCACAAACATCTTTGAAGTATAGGAATAGGCGTTTGACTATTTTAAAGTTCGGATTAACATATCTATATATTTTGATGCAGCTTGAGGTATTGCATATTTTGTGGCATTAGGTATAGCATAAAATGAAGTCAAATATTACAGAGGGAGTATTTTACGGACAAATTTGTGGATTTATTGTTGCTTTTGTATCCGGAGTAACATGCACAGTAACGTGTGTTTGGAATCAATGGAGCAAAACCAGTTCCTCTGAAAGTGCTTCAGTCCTAGGTACCTGAAAAATCTAGATTTGTTATCTAGTAACAAATCACAATTGCATAATTTCAGAGTTGCTTAATTAAGGAGAGGGAAAACATATTATTCTCCATATATAGTTGATTTAACAAATGAAATCACCATATATATATATAACATACATAAAACTCATTCAATGAATGACCAATTGATTTTGTCATTCATGCCCAATAGAATAGGTGAAATCCAATTTATCTATCATGAATATTTTTTAATTTAGCCCAAAAATGAAAACTGTAAATTACTATGCAGTATGAAAAGACTAAATTAAGAATTATTTAGAAATAAATGCAATATCTCGAACGAAAATGCAACATTAACTTATTGATTTTATAATTTCAGGGGCAATATGGGGATTCAACGGAATTTGGATTCAGTGTGTTCAACATTCAACAGGACAATTCCAATGTAACAATTATAATACTGCCGTTATCAACCTACCAGGTATGACGTAAATATAATCAGCTTGGGTGGATTAGGCATTGTAGAGATGGGGGTCAAGAAAAAAATTGATCAGATAACTGTCGATAATTTTAGGTCAAGCTCATGCTTTAGAATGTTCTTTAATTGTATATTATTTTAGCTTATATGAATGCCATTCGCGCGTTTATGTGCATCGCCATCATCTTTTCCGTCGTTGGATGTTTTATGTGTTTGATTGGAATGCAATGTAGCAGACTTTTGGAAACGATGCCAAACGCGAAGCGACTTGTAATGCAAATAGCAGGAGGGCTATTCATTGGAGCAGGTATGATTGAGTTTTGGGAAAATTTTAAATTTACGTATACGTTGCGTATTACTCCTAATGGTTACGTATATTGAATTGCTATGATGTTGTAAATTTTAATAATCGTTGGTATAAAATAGCGTTTCCGCGTCAGATACGTAACGATAACTGACGTTCTGAATTGGTGAACAGAATATTGTAATTCAACCATTCATTGTTCTCCAGGCTGTCTGCATATGAATTTTGTTAGATCAAATAAATAATACTTGATTTGTTTACGAACTGAAAACCACATCTGACGCAAATTCTTACCGTCCTTGACGGGGCATTGGACTCGTGCCTGTTTATGTCTTTAGTCTTTTTTTTTATAATTCAATGTTACACATTACCAAAAATTATTATTTGAACCAGTAACGTAGAGTATACACATTCATTCAATCTGTATGTATACTTCTATGAAGTTTTAATTGAATCTCTTATATATTAATATTCCAGAATAGGCATATGAGAACATCGTCTTGGTGTGCACCTAGATTTGACCAAAAATAACAAAATAAGCATCCTAAAATTGGAGGCTATTTCGACCTAAATTCGCAAATTTGAACCATTACGAATCTACGAAAGCAATAATATGTAAATACATGACAAGATAAAAATGGAAGTAAATGACGCAAATTCTATCTGTTTTAGGAGCTCTCACAACAGCGTCACTCTCATGGTACACGGCAATGATAATCCAAGACTTCTTTTCTTATACAAACTATGACAACATGATGAGATACACTCTCGGTGCTACGATGTACGTTGGAATATTTAGTGCCATATTATCTTTCTCTGCTGGTGTAATCTTCTTATGCCTACCGGGTCCAAAAGAAGAGCAAGAGAAGAAGTTCAACTTTGAATATAATCGTAGCACTGCCAGGTCAACATACAAACGACCAATTCGTTATAACGAAAGTCAAAGATCACTGAGTCGATATGATGAAATGCAATATGTGTAATTGATGGTTCTATTATCTTTGTACGCTTGTCCACCTGTATATTACACCCAGGACATTTGCGCCTGTATACGTTTATACCCACGGACATTCATACTCACGTATATTTGCGACTACGGACATTTGCACCCATATAAATTTCCATCGGCGAACATTTGCAGCCATTGACATTGGGACCCTTAGAAATTAGCACCGCCTACAAACTTTTGTACCCGTGCTCATTTTCACATGCAAATATTTGTGTGTTTAATCGGAGTTTTTTCATTTTGAATTTGTTTAACCCGGGTTCGTTTTGGGGACATATTGCATCAGTCTGTGAAGTAAACGAGGTTATGACGTCATTTCCAAGTCCATCAAGTGTTGAACAATCCGAATGTTATAACGAGAAAAGGATACGAACACATTGCAAATTTGCACGCCATTGGTTTAGATTACCATATATCCACTTAGTTCAAGTGAGACCTGGAAACATCTTCTAACAGTTGATACCACTAGAGAATACTATCCAAACATTACAGGTGTCTAAACAACTTGCTCGATGTAAATCTGGGTTTTCTAAAGTTGTCGTTTTCTATTTTTCTTTTAGCTGCGTTTTATTACTATTTCTTGTCGCAGCACGTTTTACATGTGTCATTAGTGGACTCTGGCTATCTGCATATATTTGCTTTGGCTAGTTTTCATGCGATATAATTTCCAGAGTGTATTAGCAAAATACCATGGCAATGATGATTTACTTAATTGATAGAAAATGAACGTAACAAAGACTAAGGTGAGTGAAATAGTAGTTTTAGTTGCAATGATTATAGTTAAATGTATGTGAATGCAAATATTCGTGGTTGCAAATGTACCCAACTTTACGAACCATAAGGCGCACTTTTAATTTCTCCTTTACCAAATAATAAAATCGATTAGTGGGTTAGTGCTTTATGCTTCATCGCATACACTCAAAGGTAATACGGTATTACTTGAAAAACCGTCTTATAGCACGATGCGCCTCATGTATGAATATAAATCTGGTTCAATTAATTTATTGACAGTGCGCGTTATGATGCGATGCGCTTTATGGTCTGTAAAATACGACATGGCTGCAAACATGAGCGGATGTTGTCTATAAGGGAGTTCTAAAATCTGTGGATGCAAATGTTTGTGACGCAAGAGTATGAGGATGCAAATCTACCCTACCCAGGTACAAATGTGCTGTCCCCTTAATTGATAGGTGAACGAAAATTGTATAGATAACACTTAAGAATTACAAAGGGCCAAACGTAATCTGTACTTATTTTATATACAACTCTTTATTATATAGTGTGCATTAACAGAATGAAAAATACACTTCTGATTTGTCTCACCAATTCTCTAAGCGGGCATGCCGCCATGATCGAATATCATCTAAGCCTACAGCCAAAAAGCTGCTAAGACCATAGAATATAAGATATGATTTTCATATTCATCCAGGGGAGGGAACGGCCGATAAGGGGGCTCAGTCATATGGCGTACCACGGTCCCACTCGGTTATCGGTCCATGTCGGGTATGTCAGACAATTATTTGATCAGATGAATAGACTTGATGGTAGAGGAATTTGCAACCGATCGGCGGTTATTTGACCCATCCACGTCCGTCCAGCAATCTTCTGGTACCCCCCCGGATCATGTTCTGCGAACCCACGCTGGTTAGCAACATGACAACCCCGGAGAGATCACTGGATAAATTGCCGCGGATAGTCGACTTCTCCACCGCAAGTTTCCGAGGGTTTCGCTTTGTAGGATAATTTTATTTCCTAATTTTAATGTAATCAAACTTATTTACAAAACCAAGAAATAAGTTCATAGCCATAAACGTCATGGATGGAATGATTTATTAAAAAAAACAATGAAAGAACAAAATATATATATATAGTATGGAACTACAGAACTACGAAGACGAAAGGACAAAAACATGAAAAACTGCCGAACAAACAGCTATTTAGATAGATATATCAGATTGTTCAAAAAAAAAAAAATTGAAACCTTGCTTCCAAGGGGGCTGTAGTTATTAATACAATTAGTCACGGTAAAACGAGTTAATAATTGAATGATAGTCATTGGAAAATTTCGGGTTGTTTTTAAACAAAAAGAAAATATGAATGAAGATGTCACAACTCTTATAGTAGCCCATACGCAATCTTCAAAAAAGATTCATTTGCCAATGCAGGATCATGTTCACAAGCCTGAAACAAAAGTAATAAGTGAAGGTTAATATTTCTCATAAACCTGAGTTAACTCGGATCAACCTTTGACCCGTGAAACTCAATATTAACAAAAAGCTGGTCGTCACACCACTGATTACACTGGTCAAAGTTACCACGGTTTTAGATCATGCAAAAGGACAAAAGTTATTCAGTCAAAGAACGCTGCATCATCCACGATACAACAAATTGTACAGACTATGCATAACCCTAGACCAGGGCCATGTAAGCGTGATGTAAAAAGTTACATTTTATGAACAGAATTTTATTTACAGTGTCACAAAAGCAAAAGTAGAAAATTATAAGCCTCGTGCTTAAATTAAATTGCAATCTCAACAAATTCCTTGAGCTATTTTTGAGCTAAAACATCTATTTAGTTTGGTAGTGGCAGCATCAGGCAGGCCAGATTGAATTACCCAACGGGCCGGATTTGGCCCGCGGGCCGTAGTTTGCCTATGTCAGCCCAAGACAATTCTATGCTTTCCAAACTTAGTCTCGTTATCTTTGGGCTGGTGTGTAGAAACTACTGGTAATTGGCACTGATTACCACATAGCAGTGGTTCCCAAACGTTTTTCAGGCGACCCCAATTTTCGTGAACTCAAAAGCGACCCCCATATAAGAATAGTACCGGTACACCAATTTAAAAAAATCAGTATTTTTCATTTGATTATCTTAATGAGAACAATGTGCCTGTATATAGACTGTGTGGGGAACGTCGGTGTGACGTTGTTGTAAGTAAGTTACTGTTTAGCCGAGTCTCGAACAAAAAATTACAAAACACCAAACACAGTTCAAACAACAAACGTTCATTTGGACTCGAATGTTAACTTTACATTCATGTGAACGGTGACATTGGCCCAATATAAGAAACTATTTGAACACGTATGACGATGCGCCGAAAAACAGGCCTCAGAAAATTTGATAATACATGGCATCGTATGAAAAAATAAAAAGTGTGTGATAAAATATCTGAGATTCGAAATAATAACGGAACGCTGAGTTCTTTGACGAAATCTTGATCGACTTGATAAACTTGACTTTTTTAGTCCAATGTCAAAATATTACAGATTACTTCATGGTTAATTCTGAAGTAAAACAGAGCATGAAATAAAAATAGAAAAAAAAACGTGAAACGAGGTCTCATCTTATTTTAAGTGCCTTTCATTTTACTCGAATTTAATGTTCATTTGTTTTTGGCTGCATGAAACGCTTCAAAATTTAGTATGAAATACAACAAGCTCATAATTTTGCTTTTTGTTCAAGAACTTTATTTTGATGTCTCAATATAATGATATTGCAATACAAAAATGAAACATTGTCCACTTTTATGCCAAGGCGATGTGGACAAAAACATGTGCGTGTAGATATTACCCACAAAGCGCTTTCACAACGGATCGAAATCCGAAAAGTGTGATTCCTCTGGCAATCAATAACATTCTTTTCAGACACCTAATTTATGGTCAATCGCCTGATAAAGCACTTTTGCTTTGCATATTCGATAACAAAGCGGTTACATTGGTAGCAAAATAACAAAACAATATAATTTCTTGCAGATTGGTAAAAATCAGATTCGCGTACCAGCGGTTGGAACAATTAGTTTAGCCTGCAGGTATTAATGGAAAGATAGGATAAGGACTAAGGGTAACTACTTATAAACAGGGAAATATTATTGACGCACTCGCAACACCATCATTCAATTGCATTCACTAATACCTGACCAACACAAATTTCACTTTTCAATTTTTAAATGTGTGCGCTCGTTTAACAGAAGACGGGCGACCCCGGAAAATCTTCATGCAACCCCATCCGGGGTCGCGACCCACAGTTTAGGAACCAGCGACATATCGCATTGCATGCAGACAAAAGTAGTTTTGGCAGAATGACACAATTTATAGGAAAGATGTAATACATAAAACAAAATATAATCTTTTACCATATGAAAATATTTTTTTTGCTTCTTCTTCATCCTTCCTAATACCATTTCCTAGTTTCAAACATCTTGATAGAAATATACAAGCCAATGTAATTCCTTTTATAATATAAGTTGGCAAGCATGACGTCTCTTGAGATATTCTTTCTATCTCATTATATGCAACAACCCTGCAGCATATTGAGAAGAAATTATAATTCAGATTCAGTATACTTGGATGTTAAAATTTAGTACTTCAACACATATAGATGCAACTAATCTAATGTATGGAACAGTACATGAAAAATAGACAAAAACAGATGATGGTGCAAATCATGCTGCAAAAAGCAATTGAAAAATATGTTTTTTGTCAAAAAATCACAACATACAGCAAGCCGCCTGGACAATTGACTCGAAAAATTATAAAAAAAAAAGATTACAAATTTATGTATTGCAAAAAAATTGATTTTTTGAAAAGAAATAATGTATCTGACCTTCTGGCAAGGTCACATGCTTTTGTAAATAATTTTTTCTCATAATAAAATTGCACAAGTCTTCCTTGTGCATAAACATTTCCTCTCTGAGAAGCCTCTTTTAAACATTCCAGAGCGTTTTTTTCATTTTTCGCGATTCCAAGTCCTTCTGCATACATTACTCCTAGAATACCTGTAAAAACAATTTTATATTGGTATATTACAAGGAGAGAAAAGCTAATAATGTCGCTTAATGATCAGATTGTTAGTTCAATGCTCTGTTTTTTAAGTTGGCTTATTACCATGTGTTGATTCGCCAATCCAAATCTTGTTGGGAGGGGGGATAAATATGAGGATTTCTGGACTCCTGGCCAGTTGTCACCTAACTTATAGTTGATAAGCGGCTTACTTCCTATACACGAGCCTGGATGATAGGTTGTGATTACCCATATGCAAATCACATATCATTACTTTTTCTCTTCCTCAGGATAAATATTGAAATCACATGCTCAATCATACGACAAACTACATCTCATCATTGGTAATCTGAGTTAAAATGTGCTGGATTCAAAGAGCATGGTAGCTGAAGGTGATCAGGTGCACTGTAGGTGATTCAGCAATTATAGGTATCACTTTGGATGTGTTAAAAGTACATGTACTTAGCCTACATCCATGGATGCCTTCATGTCTGTTCAATGGTTGGGTAATAAGGCTTCTCCCATCATTCAAGTCCACGCATATTCCAATACCTGGCATTTACTGGGAACAAGATGTGGTTCTGAATTGGCTTTCACAGCAATATTCGGCGCTCCCAAGTATGTGCACCAAGATGGCGCACAACCTGAACCCTAACCTGGTACACATATTATGTTCAGGTTGTGCACCATCTTGGTGCACCTACTTCTGGAGGTCTCATTATTCTGCCCAGTATAGGGCATCATGTTACAATTAATTATCCTTCAGGAAAATTATAATCCATCCAAAACTATAACAAAGTGTATTAGTTGCCTGACTATAAACAACATGATACTGACCTTGGGATTCCAAACTTCCATTTCCACATGCTTCGGAATGCCAAAAGAAAGCTTTCTTAAGATCTAAAAAATCCGGTCTGGAATACAACATACCAAGCATAGTTTGCGCATGAATACTGGCTTTTGGATTACCATCATCAGCAGCGAGTAACCACCACCTGAGTATAATATAAAAAAACTCGTAGAAAATATACGATGATCCTATCGAACAATTAAAACAGCGATTCTCAAACTTTTAAGCCGCTCTTTTTAAAATTTGTCAAGGCTCGCAATCCCTCTCAAAAATAACTAGCTAACAATAAGCTACAAATAACATATAGTGAGGCAAAAGTATGTTTTTTTCAATAAACATGTTTAAAATACCTGGATGGAATCGCAATTTCTACCCAATAAAAAAGTGTAAATATCCAAAATAAGGCGGGAAATATCAAAACTAACAAATATCTTCAATCCTAAATAAAAAAAATTTCTACAGCCCCTTTGTGAGGCGCGCTCAACCATTAGAGAACCACTGAATTGAAACATAAATCTCCTTCAACACTGGATACAGAGATTCTACACACCTTTTATTCAGAACGAGGCCCCGTACAGGCAGTCACTGACTCCTATTACTACTATTTTTGGAAGGACCAAAATATTTCTAGTTCAGCATTGCTTATACAATTTGTTACAAACTGGGTAAGATAATGGGCATGGAGTGTTCATAAAGATAAAATCCTTGTTTAGTGCATTGAAGAACAAAATCTTCGCATATCTTACTTTTCAGCCTCTGCATCACTTTGCTGAACTCCATAACCATCAAAGTACGCTCTTCCAACATTATATTGAGAAGAATGTATCAAATGTTTCGCTCTTATACTTTTTGAAGTTGCAACTTTCATCATGAGGTCCATTCCTTTATCCTGAATAATGAATAGGATTTAATATTTATTACCAGGGGACAATAAATAAATAAAATGACTTGTCTGTGGTGAATCATGGCCTTATAAAGATGTGATATTATCGGAAAAACAGAAATTTCAACTATTGATACAAAGGTACACAAAAGGTTTGATATACATACATTGTCATTAGATCATTCTTACTATACTATGATATCTTGCATTGAGTACAAAAATAAAAAAAAGTTTTCAAATAGTTTTATAATATACTCTATTGAAATATGCGCTGGTATAAAACTTGTTTTACAAAATTGGGATCTCCTGAAGTACGCGCCCTCAAGGAATTCTAGTAGGCGTAACATGACGATTTTATTAATAAAATATTCCTAACCCCCACTTGAGTACATCACTTAAAAATTACGGTACATCACTGCGACGTCACAATCGCGTCATAAAGCTTGCTAAAGTATAGCTAGGATCATTCAAAATAGCATCTGTGCCGACTATAATGAACTCACTAACTTCAGCGATCGCTTTTTTAATGATATCGTTTCGATGAGAAAACGAGAGAAATAGCTTGCTCGATTTCGAATGATTGTCTGCGCGACCATCCATATACTTTGGAGGACCGTATTACGTCACTGCGACTTCGCAGTGATGTAATTTTTGAATGAAGTAGTCAGGTGGGGGTTAGGAATGACATATGCAAAAATTGTTAAGCCAGGCCAACTGGAAGTACGTGCGGCGCGTACTTCAGAAGACCTCAAAATTGTTTTGATTGAATGACAAAATTTAAAAAAAGGATCCAAATCCAGAACATCATAATCATACATACATACACTAGTGGTCAAATTGTTATACTTAACTGCATTGGCATCACTGGTTACACATTTCAGGTTAAAATTATAGAGTCATTCTCGGATCGAGAAGGATCACATAACAAAACTGTACAAAATAGATTGTTGTTACTCACATAGTCAACATTGACTCCGACTCCATCAAAATACATGGTTGCAAGTTGGTATGCAGCTTGGTAATCAACATCTTTTATATCATCAAATTGAATGGCTGCTTTCTGTGGTAATTCCTAAAATAGAAATTTAGAAATGAAACAAAAAAATTTCCCTGCAATGCATCATTAAATTGGTACAACGAGTTAAAAATTGTAATACATTGTAATATTCTAGGATTCTGTATTTGCATATTACAGTTGGAGAACGAAAGAATAAGATACAAATTGCATTTTCAACAAGTCAAATATGAATATATATTTCATACCAGTACTATACACTAACACATATGTTTAAAGTAAAGTGGCGATTAAACAAAAACTTTTTATAGTACCTCTTCATAATAAAATTGTCCTAGCAAAAATGGAGCTTCTTTATCACCACTCTTAATTTTTTCCAAAAGGTGGTTTTCCACTTTTTTAAAGAGTTCATCTTCAGAAATATTTTCTACGCTATGCTCATTCACTTCATTATGCAACGTACTGACAACACTTCCACCGGGAAGTGGTTCCAGCCCAATACCCTCCATGGCATTGAAATAACTAAAAGATGAACTAACTTACACCTAGACCTACTATAACATCTAATGAAAATAGTGACAATGAATATTAAATTTTACACCAACCTTCACAAAATTTAATTGTATTACCAGATGCCATTTGTTATATGATACACCAATTACAAAAATTTACACAACAGTAATATTTTAAAATTTTGCCGATATTCTATAATAGCAGTACAAAATTGTAATTTTCATGCCTGTGCATCTGCATAACATTAACAATATCACTAACAATAAATATTTGTATAAACTTTGAAAATTGATAGCAATTAAGTACTATAGACCAGAAAACATATTTATTCACAGTTCAGTGTTTACACATGTTACTTGTTTATTGCCAGAAAATTTTATTTCCTGAATCATTATATCTGTGAATGTGATACAAAATAATGAAATTTAACAAATCATTTTTTTTCTTTATAATGAAACAGGTATGGAGTCAAAATAACTATATATTTAAAGATCATTTTTCAGGTGCCATCGGCCACTTATCGCTGAAATGAGCGTTCAATATGTTTAAATAATGGTGTATCTTTGACTGATTAAACATTTGAGCAAAGGGGAAAAAATCATAGATACTGATACCAAGATAAGACAAAAGTATTATACTATAAGAATATTTGTTTAGAAAGTTTTTTTTCAACGGACTGGATATAAATACAATGAGGAAATGCTACAACTGCAAAGAATAATTTCAAAAAAATAGACAAGTGTGAAATTCTGAAATTGATCATTCTGCTGGGTTTTGTATGACAATGAGAAGATATTCTTTGTCTGGAGCGACCATAATTTCGTGTTTCTTTGATCTGAGACGTAGAAAAGTGAGATCGTTTTGTGGATCAATATCCCGAACGGTACTTCGAGCTTTCATTGTGAGCGTATGAATGAGTCCAGAATATTGAACAGTTGTTGAATTATCCAATGTTGTTCGGATCGGAATTCCTTCTGGGTTGACCACAATAATACCGATAACTCCTTTATGGGCTTGTATTCTCTTTACGGTTTCTTCAACTTCAGACATGGTGTTGTTTAATAAAGCTAAACTCGCAAAGTAAACCAAATATGCACACAGTTTCAATCGCAAAGTCGCAGGAAGCGCCTCGTTTCGTTTCCCAAGGCAACATACATGAAGCGTAACATAATATAGCTATAGTATGACGTCATTGGTAACTTTTGATTATGTAAAAGTGAATATTTCGAGTCATTTTCGGCTGCTAAAAATGATTTGGCTGTTAATGTAAAGATATACCAAATTGAAAAATTTAATATCAAACTAGAAGAAAAAAAATACGGGTAGGTATTGCACCGAAGCGACGCTGTACGTTAATATTAAGGAATATTGATTAACAAATATAGAGATATTTCAACTACGGTATTATTTGATGGAAATATTACGTATTATCTGGTTTGTAAATAAATCCTGATTACAATATCATTTTAATTCACCTGCAATATATTTTTCATTCTGGTCTTGTGCGACGGCTGTTTTCGCTCTCTCTCTGCTCCTATGCATCACGTGACCGACAATTAACCACAGTAGCCTGGCGGAACTTGACTCTCTCTGGCTCTCTGGCTGAGTCTGGCATAACAGATTTCAGGATTTATCAAATTTAAATTTTAAAGGTAGACTATGTATGTATTGTGCTAACTTGAAGAATTCTCCATAACTCCATGCAAATCATAGGAAGGATTGTACAAAGGATATTTTCAACAAATCATTGGATCATGGGAAATATGAATTCAACAGAGAAAATATTTACCGGTACTTTTCAAGAAAAATTGGGTCTCGTGTAGTTTCGTACTTAACATACTGGGTCTGGTATAGTTTAGTACCACATGTACTTCTAGTTGACCTGGCTCAACAATTTTTGCATATGTCAATATGCATTTCGACGTCACAGTGGCGTAATAAGGCCCACCGAAGTATGCGGATGGTCGTCCAAAACGCGCAGACGATCACCCGAAAAAACCCGAGCAAGCAATTTCTCTCGTTTTCTCGTCACAACGATCACTATAGGAGAGAGATCACCGGCTTTAGCAAGTTCGTTATCGGCGGCGCAGATGTCATTTCGGGCAATCGTAATTATACTTTGGCAATCCCTATGACGTGATGGTGACGTCGTAGTGACGTAATTTTGGGATGGCATAGTCAGGTGGGGGTTAGGAATAGCATATGCAATATTCGTTATGCTACAGTGCTACGCCCACCGGAAGTACTTGTGGTACTAAATTATACTAGACCCAACATACTTCTAGTGAGTGTATCGCAATAATTTTTCGACATATCAATCCCGTCATAGAGCTTGCCAAATACTCGTACGATCGTCCAAAATGGCATCGGCACCGACGATAAGGAACTGACTAACGTCAGCAATTTCTCTCCTATCGGGATCGTTGCGACGAAAAAACGAGAGAAATGTCTGTTCGATTTCGGGTTCTCGTCTTGGATGACAGTTCGCATAGTTTGAAGGGCTCTATTACGTCACTTTGACGTTGTAGTGACGTAATTTTTGGATGGTGTGGTCAGGTGGGGATTAGGATTGACACGTGAAAAAATTGTTATGTTACGCCTACTAGAAGTACGTTAGGTACGAAACTACATGAGACCCGAAAAATTTTGTACCATGAAGTTGCTATAGAGACGTCTAGATTCTAGACTATTAAGTTCACGTTTTTTGTATAATCTGAATAGTTCATTTCTGTAAACCTTTCAGAACTGACAAGTGATGTTTTCATTATTGTCTGTATTGTGTAGAGTGTAGACGTTATAGACTATATCTGTATAGAGTCGAATTTTAAGGCAATCACTCGATAGTTTGTTTTTTATATTTTTAAGCACGAAATGCCAGCATATGTATACACATTTCATCTAGAAACAATTTGTTCGTTTACATGCTGTCTCACACATCGCACACACACCCGCTATTCAGTTCACTATTTTGTTTGTTAATAATTGCACATAATTTGATTATGAAGTTGGACCCTGAATATATGATTTCATTTACTGGTAGATGTTTGTTTGAACACCCAAAAAAATCTTGCTAGGCCTCTGGAAAAATTTTCTGGATAAAAGGTACAAACCTATGCCGGCTTTTTATGCTTTAAAAAAAATAAAAAAAACTATCCAGTGATTGTCATAAAATAGACTATGATGCCCACATAAAAAAGTAAACATCGATTTTCAGTTCTCGAATATCACAATCAGGCATTAAAACTTTTGTATATTCGGTCCTATTTATAAGTCGAGCAGTCCAAGCTTGAATTCGTTTGGGTGTATCTTCATGCTTGCATGCAGTAGATCGGTTGAAATTTCTCCCATATTTGCATCCCAATTGTAAGTTTCTAGTCCCACAGTCGAGAATTTGTTAATTCTATAATCCGTTTTTTGATTCCATTTAATGTCACGAGGTTGGCGATTTACTTTCTTCGCGTACCGTACACAAATCTCAAAATTGAATGAATCAGCAGCGTTCGCACACGGTGCGGTCGAAACAATGTGGCCTGAGGGTGTAAAGATAGTCTGGAAGTCTTTGAATAAATTAAGGCATGTTTGAAAAACTACGGTACTTGGTACTACTTGCAATCCCCGAATCTGCAGTTATACTCGGATATTTATTCAGACTGTCAGACTTATTGTTTTAGCATATAGGCTAAGCAAATATAATAGATTAATCTTAAAATTAAAACACGTAAGACCGAAAGTTAAGTGAAATGTTTTTGGAATAGGTCTAGTGATTTATGTATAGTTTTATTATTCATGTAGTAATTGAGGGTATCATATTTTTGAAAGTTGTAAATGTGTGTTGTGTGATTATTGGATTATTACCTCGATATAGACTTTAGTATACCATTATAACACTAATATCAGAATATACGATATCTTATATATCAGTATATAGTCTTTTTTAAAACCCTAATATCTGAATATTATTTGCTTCTTTACAATACAGCTGTATCTAGTATAACTATAGACTAAATCCAGAAATCTAGGAGGTTTTAATTTTTTGGAACTCACAATATTTCCATACTGCCATAAGAAGCCATGAATCTAACAACTGAACCGTCATCAATTGAAGATGATTTCAACTATGGAACAAATGTCAAACAGGCAACCATGGGTGTCAGGCTTGGTAAATCACTTTTTGAAACTATGTAATGAGATTTATATGCCTGTACACTGTATGTATACCAATAAAACGATAGGCTACTCAGTGCTCAGTAATAGTGGCAGTGGGTACATATACCGGATATTATATTATGAGTATTTGCTTGAAGCAAGTGCATTTGCATTCACTCGTAAGTAAAAGAGATTTACCTACTTCTCAGCGAAGTCACAGTGACCACTGAAATGGCAAGAGCTTCTGAAAAGTCTGAAATCATGCAAAATTATACTAGTGCATTATGCTCAGATGCTGGAAGACTCGTATACCGACTTGGCTCCGGGGTGCTGGACTCATCGTTGCCGTGGGGTGGTTCACGTAACTGCTGGTCAGTTACGCCTTCCTCCACTGTCAAGTCCATGCTTCCGAAAACAAATAACTGGCCAACTAATCCCATACCCGACATGGACTGGTAACTGGATGAGAGGCCGTGGTTCACCATATGATTAAGCTGACTAATCGGTTTTCCTCTCCCTCAGGATAAATATGTAAATCCTCCTGAATCCTAAGACGAACGACTCTGATCATTTCGATTCTGTTAAATTAGCCAATTTCACTAATTTTGCCATAAACAGATAAATTGACTATAATATCAAGCGATAGGCAGCCATGACACCCCGATTTTGTGTTAACCTAATATTTTGACAGGATTCCTCAGAAAAGTCTACTGCATCTTGACTGCTCAACTAGCAATAACAACTGTGATGTGTGCACTATTCATCAGTGTGGATACGTTGAAAAATTTTGCTCAGAACAGGTTTGAAAATGAAATTTGTTGTACGCTATGTCAAACTTTTTCTGGCCGAAGTAACTTTGAATTTTATCGTCTTTATTTTATGATAATGTTATCATTTTTCTTGTTACTGACAGGAAGCTGGTTTGATTGGTAACAAAGTTATTAAAAAGTTTCTTCTCACACAGCTATTTTGTTTTGGCTGTTTGTATGTCTGAAATTTTGTGTGTGCCATAATTCGCGAAGTAATGCATCGTATAACTTCCGTTTAACACTTCATTATTCATAAACTATGTGTGTAAAAATATGATAAGTGCAATTGCAATAAATATGTGTGCTTCTTAATTGAAACTTATCAGTCACCTAAGTTGACTATATTTTTTTCACTGTTGCATTCTTGCACTAAGTCAAATTTAATTCATATAAATTGAATATTTCTATGAAGAATAAATTGATTGAGTAATTTTTAAGATTTCGTCATTTGAATACACATTACTTTTTATTTCAGTCAACCTGTTCTCATTGTGACAATGGTTTTATCAATTGGATTGATATTTGCATTACTTTTGAAAAGACATGAACATCCTACAAATATGTATCTACTACTTGCATTTACACTTGTCGAATCCTATACTGTTGCTACATATGTCACCTTTTTCAAGTAAGTGTGCTTTTATTGGGTTAGTATAGTTTAGTACCACAATTACTTTCGGTGGGCGTAGCATAATTTTGCATATGTTATTCCTAACCTCCACCTGACTACGCTATGCAAAAATGACGTTTCTACGACATCACAATCACGTCATACAGCTTGCCAAAATATAGCTTCGATCTACCAAACGGCATCTGCGCCGACAATGAGGAAGTCACTATATGCCAGCGGTTTTTCTAATATCGGGATCGTCTGCGCGTATTGGACGACCATCCGCACACTTTGGAGGTCTTTATTACACCACTGTGACGTCGTAAGGACATATTTTTTTGTTGACGTAGTCAGGTGGGGGTTAGGAATGGCATATGCAAAAATTGCAGGCCAACTAGAAGTGCATATTTTGTAGTTTAAGTAAAGTAAAAATTAAATTGACACTCTGAAACATTTAGAGATAATAGAGTTCAGTAGTAACTATACTTTTTCATCAATTTAAGAGTGGAAATTGTTCTACAAGCATTCATCCTTACCCTGTCAGTTTTCTGCATTCTCACATCTTATACTTTACAAAGCAAGAGGGATTATTCATCTTGGGGAGCTGCTCTCTTTGTTGGTTTATGGGTTCTGGTTGGCACTGGAATTTTGCAAGTGAGTATCAATAAGTGAGGTGAAGTGACATTGACAAGTTCCATTTTGCCAGTTCCTGCATTTTAGCCCCCTTATCCTGTGGAAGGGTGATTGTGTTTGGAGGGTGATAATGATTGCTAGACTCTATGTTCACTGGACAGATGATCGGTAATAGATCATCCCAGTCCATTAGCATGAATAATCATAGTTATTCTGCAGCAAGGTCTTCTAGCCCTAAATTAGATATACCAAACAACTCGATGTCTCCTAAAATCTGAGCCACTGAGTCAGTGTTGTGAAAACTAGAATATAACTACCATGTCAAGTGGCCTGCGCAATCATTCGTAAACTACATTCGGTCATAAAGCTTGGGCAACCCCTTCTAAAACCTGATCGGAAAAACGGGCTAGAAATTGTGGCATTACCAATTCGCTATCAAGTAATCTCATGGCCTTCCCCAAGGCTATGAAAATCTTTTCTCGCTACAGATATGAACATAGCCTTGTCATTTCTTCTTTGTATATATCTTTTTATTATCATGTATAATTCCAGTGTCAAATCGTCAACTTAAAATTCGCATTCGTTTCAAATTACTTTAATTTAATATAATGTATTACATATTTATGTTAATGGATATTTTTAGATTTTCTTTCACAATGACACCTTCGAAATGTTTTGTGCAAGTGCTGGCGCCTTATTGTTCTGCATGTTCATCATTTACGATACTCATCTTATCATGAAACGTCTTTCTCCTGAGGAATACATTGTTGCATCAATCAATCTATATCTTGATGTCATCAACTTATTCATGGAAACGCTCCGCATTCTCAGCAAAATGAACAATAAATAGGTCTTGAGTTAGGTTTTGTTCTCAATATTCGGTGATTATGCATAAATCATACTGTTGTTATTGAATAGTTTGGACTTGCAGAGTTTTTCTTTATCTGTTACTTAAATGTTAAATCTTGCTTATGATACTCAGGTCAGTAAAACTTGGTAAACTATGTTTTCTCAAGAATATTGTTGTATCTAGTATCAGAAACATATGAAATTTATTATAGTCCTATGCTTATTGGCGATATTGCTTGTTATGTTAGCATAGGTCAAGCCTGTCAAGATATATTATGCCATACTGTGAATGTATGATGACGAACTTTTTTTAATTAATGTCCACTCTACTGCTTTATTTAGATGCTTGTATATTGCATTAGTCTATGGTGATTTTATTCAAGTACAAGCTACTTATAATGCAGCTGCAAATTCCCATACTATGAGAGTTTAGTTTCTGATGATTTTAGCACCTCAGGCGCTTATGACGTTTTTGTTAAAGTTATCTTCTTAGTTTGGATGGAATCATTCTCACTTATTCAATTTTTGAAACATATTTTATCAATTTCATGAAAAGAAAAGTGCACATTGTTTTTTGCTGATTTTGTATTTCTTTGGGCACTTTGAATCATTTTCAGATAAGGAATTTGTAGTCAATTTGCCACCATGAATATCGTTAATTAACAGTGCAATAAAACCGGTTTTTCAAGTAAAATTAATTTTCTCTAAGATTAATCTATTTTTTCAGAGAATGTTATTAGCTTCGTTTTTGTTTGTAGGTAATATAGAGTAAAATTTCAACTTATGTTGTGTCTTGACAACAAATATGGTTTTTGTCATGTATTCATTATCGTTGGAATATCGATCACAAACACATTTTTTTTTGGTTTTGCATACTGTATGAGTGTAATCCAATGTTTTCCTAGTGCACCGCTTGTTTACGCCATCCTTTTGTATTTGCTGAATAGAGTCAATACTATGAGATTATTTGAAGCTTGTCCTTATTAATAGTTTACATGCCATAGTTTATGTAGGGATGCCTTTTATTGATGATTGAATAAGTGACAGTCACCACAGTCTGTTTCTGCGGTTACACGTTTGTTTTAAAATCATAGGTTTTATGGATGTATATATATGTAAATCGGTTGAATTTTATGTGTGACACATAGAATCGACCAGATTGTTTGAATATATAATGATTATAATAATTGCGTTGCGTCCATTTTTTTCTTCAATTTAAGTCGACTGTCAGTGGATTAGGACATTGCTCGGGTCGTTTCATTGTTCCAGCGTTTGGACCATGCTCGAAGTCGCAATACTGGTTCACCAGAACCCCAGGATTGTATCTCGTGGTGGTAGATCATTTGTGAGAAGAATGCTAGTACCCCAGCTGGTTTGTAGTATTTTAATTAAGAAGCAATACAGTGATTTTCAATCGGTGTTCCGCGGAACACCGGTTCGAACGTCATTCGAATAATATAGAGTCGATTTGAAAACGGCGAGTCAGAGTTTTGGAAGGTCGGTATAAAAAACTTGTAACCAGATAGGAAGAGACAGGCCATATTCCCTTTTAATAGACTTTATCTCGGCGTGTGTTTTTAGTGATCCCATTCCATTCTTGACCAAACAATGTTTCAAAAAAGTGAACATTATACTCAACCATGAATGGAGTCATCATCGGAGTTGATTACATTCGTTGCATTTTGAAGCTTTTCTTGCAGTAATAATTAGGGCGTGGCATCATCAAAATCGTCAAGTGAAGAGTTGAATTTGCATATTCCGTAAATACAATTGTGAATTTGTAGGTAACGATTTTAGCTATGATAATGGCCGCGGTATTGTTTTGTTGGAAAAGAAAACGTTAAAACTCGAGGTGAATAATTCTAATCAGCGTCTAATCAGCACAAAAGCAATTGGGCAAAAAATTGTTTACAATTTTTTTGGCATCAGGTCGCGCATGTAAGATATCGTAAAAGAAGTGCTCTCCTAATGACCACGTAGAAATGCCTTTATTTCAGCTTTTAAATCAACATTCAGGATGTCATTAACATCTGTCGCCGATGTGAACGCATATTTATACCAAAATATGAAACTTCGATCTTCGCCGATCGGCACGAATTAATACTTGCGCACAAGAACAAAAGGGGTAATATGAAAACGTTCAGGGGGAAAAAAAGTAGCGATTATGACGAAATTCAACAGTAAAAATTGCTTTGCTGCCAATGATTCTATTAATTTCCAAATCGACCTCCGACCTTCTGGACTCCTGTTGCGTATAAAAAAAAAACGCGAGAAATTGAGAGCCGTTGAGAAAGAGCTACGTGTTTGTCTCTCCTCAATTACAGATACAGAATAAAATATTTGAAACTCATCGAAACAGACCCAAATATCACACTAAAATACCATTTCTGTTTCTAGCTACCGTAACCATAGTATTCATAAGCAAACTTGCAAAAACATTCATTTATACCGTACTTTAGCTCTTGTAGCTCTGAATCGGAATGTATCACGTCTTTTCCTAAAGTTGACAAGCTATATTATTGATTTCGTTATTTTATTTTCATGCCAAAATGATCGACGTCAGTTAATTGCATATTATAGTTTATTTCCAAAAATTTCGTTTGGTGTTCCGCCACAATTTCAAATTAAAAAAAGTGTTCGCGGTTCAAAAAAGGTTGAAAATCACTGCTCTATTGCGTGGTTCCCAACCTTTCATTGCCCGCGGCTCTTTCTGGAAGAAAGCTTTCAGCACTCGTACCCTCCGCACTCGTTCATCATTCCAAAAAAAAAAACAGACATACAAAAGTCTATTGTGTATTTACCATATTTTATGGTATTCCACTATTATAACAAACACAACCCAGAGGCTAGAAAGTCCAAGGTAATTAATATATAACCAATTGCAAAAATTAGAATTCGCAGAGCTCAAAGTTACTTGGTAGATTCCAAATTTCATTATGAATCATGATCAAACAGTTCATATACAAGAATGTTAAACCACCCTGTGACTGAAAATAAATTAACAGGGAATTTTCCTTGAAAGGGAACAGTATGAAAACGAGACGGTGTTTAAAATCAATTTGGTGCATAGTTTCGATTGTGTTCAATTCGGTTTGGTGCACACCCTACTGCAGGGGTCGGCAACTATTTGTTGCTCGCGGGCCAAAATGAAGGGTGATTTCAAAATATTAGGTTGAAAACTAATAATTATAAAACTAATGATTAAAATAAGTATTTCAACAATTAGCAGGTATCACAATTTGATCACTGGATTTATGACACATGAAAATATAATGAAACGCAAGGCGCAAATGACAGATGTTTGTGATTTAGTGATAATTTTTAGTGATTTTGTGATAATACCATCTGAATCTTGATGGAAATGAACCGGGATTAACGGATTTATTTTTGCTGTAACTGTATAAAAATACTTTAATACACGTTTTTAACTCTAAACAGACCAGTTGTCCGCCAACAACCTCGTTCGACTCGTATACAACATGATTCCTGATATATATAGTACATATATGTATACCAGTACATATCATTTCAAAACGAGAAATTGCCTTATTAATAGTTTTTCATGTGTATATCCATATTGAAGAATGTTGTTTTCTGAGGACCATCCTTGGTAAACCAGAAAATCCAGAAGCGGTCATCTTTTGATCAGTATCAATAGCATGAATGACTCCGATGTACTATTGTTTTCTGAGATAATGTTTCTGATTATGTTTGTAGGGCGTGAGATATTACATGGAAGAGTTTCAATTACAAGACGGATATATTTTAATGTTTTCTACAATTGTCCTTGGTACATAAAAACATAATTATTGTATTCGTAATGGCGTAATGGCAATTGTCTCAAAACTGACTCGAGTGATTTAAACCAATTCAGGCGCTTGCTCGTGACATAGTTAATTATTGCTCGTAGAATAGGTTATCTTTTCTTGTTTTATGTAGCAAATTCACAAAATGAGAGATTATATTTGACAATAAAAGTTAGATTATATAGGCTGATGTGATGAAAAATTCTGCGCTAAAATAGTAAAGAAGCAGCTAACTTCCGCGCATCTTTTTTCTATACAACTAAACATAGGTTTGTGGAAATTTTGTATGAATTGCGCCTCTTTCCTAGCAAATATATACTACGAATTTTACGAATAACTATACCTTATAATCAACATACCGCGAACATTTATGATAATCTACAAGTTCTACAACAAGACACACAATTGTACAAGCTTAGTAGAGGTAAATGCTGTACAATGGACTCTGTTAGTGTATCAGCCGGTGGCCGAGTAGCTAAAATTTACATGCATGGCGAAAGACAACGTAAAATTACCTCCATGAAAAATGGACTTGAATCTAAAAGATTAAATGCAATCAAACGACAAATTGAAGACGACAAAGCTACGGAACGATATTTATGGGAAAGGTAACTTACAGAATTACATTTCTCTCCCCAGAAACTTGAATAGAATAGTGAAATTAGAATAGACTGAGATGATTATCATTGCATGATCTAGTCTAGATTCTTGAATTTCTCCGTATATGTTTTACAGAAGTGCAAAAAAGATATTCCAATCAAACGATGATATCAAAGCGTTTCAAAAAGCGTTAATTCAACGCATCACTGTGGTTAAAGAGAAGAGTAAAATGTCCGGAGAAATAAGACCACTAATAAATCTTGGACGGTATGGTGGAGCTTCGCTTGATCAGATCAGAAAAGAAAGTCATAAATACAAACCTATACGTAATCCCGAGCAAAGGCGATTAATCAAAACTCGAATTTTATTGGAACAAGTAAGTTACCTTATCTTGCTCTGTATTGAAGGGAATACTTTGTGCAGTTTTACTTGTATATTGGTATGAAGTGAGTTTAACTGTTTTATTGAACACCAAATTTGAAAAACAGTTTTATATTAAGTGTGGGAACACTTTCATTGGACATTTAAAACTTGTGTCTATAAATTTGAGCAAACTTTTGTATTTATATAATCGTCGAAATCGTTAGACTCAGAAACAACACTAACATAATTATTTAGGTTCGAGAAGGCGGATTAATTTGGCTGAACACCTATTTGAAGAATTACATAATCAAATTCGTTTGTCATATTACTCGTATACATAAATAAATACTCACCTGTCATTCAAATTTAATCTGAAGAATAATACAGAGATATGTTCTTGTAATTAGTTTTAATCACCAACATGCTTTTATTATTCAGGGCAAACGCAATGGACAAATCAAGACATTTCGCTCTGACGTTTTGGGTGATGTTACAGAAAGTATTTTACAGGTTTGTTAACTCAGCGACTATTTAATAAATTGTTTGGGCAATCGCGTAATTCAATATGGTCCATTCCTTTTCTAAATGTCTGATAAATATATATATGACTCGTCTCGAACAGGTATTGGCTAATAATTAAAAATATCAAATGTGCTTCGACGACGGAACTCAATTGATATGTAGCATTATTATGACAAAGCACCGACCGACCTTGCGTTCCAACAGAAAACACAAAACATTTTTATAAGCTTCAATTCAGAATAAGGTAAATTACAAAATGGCTCAAACTTTTGTTTGTCATATTAATTTTCAATTAATAGATTTTTCGAAACAAACCGCATTTTTATCTCGTAATAATTGACATAAATGATCATCATCAATGCAAAATATATATGCAGAAAAACGAACATTACATTTGGTTTTCAATGAGTATCATTTTTCGATTTTCGTTTTAACATAGATCCCAGACATCCATATTTATTCGATAGGAATGTTCGATATACGAGCATGTTTTCTAATTGAATACATACGATTGTAAATTAAATAAAACACAACTGAAATTATATAATGACATTCGAATAATATATACATAATCGTTACATTCAACAGCTCGAGAAAATTACGAAGCCTCCTAATCCCTTGCAAAGAGCACTGGACGTCGCAAATCTTGAAGATGTTGAAGAGGCGGATGAAGAGTCGTTCAGTAGACAGGTGAGCGTCGTTGTTGCGGCTACATAAGCATCGGAAGTTCCATAATCTTCATGAAACAAATCAAAATAATGAGTATGTCTGCCAGACATTATGTTGTCGTCCGTAGTATTGAAATAAAATATATACGAAATTTGAGGCTCTGGCAAAACTAAGGTGCCATATGCCTGTGGCAACGAACGAAAATTGTAGTACGTATTCACAGATATATATAATTTTATTGCGTAGTAAGTCAATAAAAGGAATTTCAATCGACAGAATTTAACTTCATATTTCATCAAGAAGAGTACGTTTCAATGGCATATTCCATAACATATTTTCTTAATATGCATAATTTTTAATATATATATACGCGTTAGCAGGTTTCTGCTGTTTCACGTACCGAAAGAGAAAAATTTGTTGTTCGACGCAGACGACTTCTTTTGCCTCCTGTTCAAGTATCAAGAACAATGCAACCAAATGAAAATTATTACAGGCAAATATCTGCACATTATAGAGAAATGAAATCTAATCTTACGCGAGAACATGCTGGAGAGGCACTAAGTGGTATACCTGAAGAATACGTCCGATTAAAAACAGGTAAAGCGTTTATATGAAAGCATAAATTCTAGTAACTAGACCTACGTCTAATTTGACATTAGCTCACAAGCTTCAAAACTTGGAACTGGTATTCGATTCTTGTTACGATGCAATGCAATTTTCCGATGCAAAACATGAAGAATCATCTTTACCACACATATAATTTCAAAATTATGAATGCTACACATGGATGGGTTGACATCGAAGTTGACAAAAACTACATACGCTCTTGCACTTTGTCCTATAACTTTAGTCACCAAAACTTTGACAACTTCTGTAGGAAAGCTTTCGTACCGGTAAGATCAATTAATTAATCAAAGAAATCGGAGTAGGTAAATTTTGCTTAAATTTAATACAAAACGATGTCGTTCTTTTGATTTTATAGACATTCCCATCAAGGAACTAGTAGAGCGAAGTGAGAAAAATCATATAATAGATGAGATAAAAAGTGCACGAAGAAAATCGACCTCGAAAGAACAACGGCAAGCCAGCTCAAGAAGGAGATATTACGAATGGGATTATACAAAACCTCTTGGTCCGGTGGCCGAGGGAAGATATTTTGCTGAAGGGAAGAGGTTCTGGAAACCAAAAGAAAGTGTTGTCATGAAACACATGCAAAAGGTTGTGCTTCCTAAAATAGTATAGCAGTTTTTGGTATGCATTTCCTGCAATCAGTTACCAAACTCTGCCTCTGCAAAATGCTGTAATGGGAAAATGTTTCATCGTATATATATGATTATCCTTTTGCGCTACTACATTAGGATCATATATCAGTGACCACAAGAAACCCACTTGTGAGTATTCTCAACCAGTTGATTTTCCGGACACGACTACCTCCATTGATATCTTTATAGCCCATATTATTTCAACTACATGCCCCCATTATGGCGTCTATGGTCAATGCTATATTTTTAATATACTGAATATTAGCATAATTTACTGTACTGCCTGTACTGTGTGTAATGCTTTATGATTGAGTGTACAGAACATGGGCCGTCAATGAGAGTGTCAGCAATGGTGAACTAATGTTTTTCATCAAAAAACGATGTTGTGTTAATGAATATAAACGCTTGTAAAATATTGTCTGTTTTCTGTGTGAAGTAGGTGGAATGATAGTACAGCTAGTACTGCAATATGTATGTGGTAATTGAGTGCGGGTTTGACAAGGAAGAGTTAATCGAGAGTAGACTATTGAATATTATGGTTTGGAATAAAAGAAACTAAGGACTGTGATAGATAGAGATTATAAACATGGCGAGTGGGTGGGGTGAGGCGTATTATTAAACAATCAACAGCATAGTGATATACACTGACTTGTAAATATATTATACTTGTGTACACTGAATATAGACATTCATTGTCGTATAATATAAAATGACCGGAGATTGTGAAGGACAGTCAGTATAGCCTTTAATGGATTTAAGTAACGTAAAATATGCGGATTTAGGCAGCGACGTTTCTTGCATACTTTGTCGTCTTCATATTTTCTTGTGTGGAAGGGAGTGTAGGTAATTCTGTAGAACTAAGAAAAGGAAAAGAATATTCATTAGCCTATATTCAATCACGCTTGGTATCGCAAATTCGTCTGGTGAGATATTACCGCCTACGTTGAGAAAAAATACACTACGAATACACTTACGATGCTGAGGCAATAATTAAATCACGTTTTTTTAATAAACATTCAAATCTAACTTGTGTTATAGAACAGTTTTTACACGGATTTAATATATATCAAAATAATTTCGAGATAATGTATATTAACGAATATAGAATGTTACATGTCACCAGGTCATGAAGGGCAGGGACTGTCATTTGTAGATACTATAAAGTTTGGTATAAACTTCGCGATAAACTTATTCTGTTTTTATTTGCAACAAATGAAATTGCTAAGCAATGAATGATTTTTCAATGGACAACATTTTTTGTTTGAAAAATTATAGTTAATTTCAGTCTCTATGCTCATAGCAATCGTATTCACATATTTTAGAAAGTATTTATAATGTTGTGATATTTCTAATTGCAGAAATATCGGGTGCAAGACTCTATAAAGCACGCACGGCACAAACCACTCAAATGCGAGGCATCTGAAAAGGCAACTTTTTAATAGGAAGTAATATTGAGCGGTTTCAATTCATTCAATAGCAATTGATTTATTGAAATCGTGGTTGCGTGCGAAGTGAATCGATGGAACCACTTTGATTCCTCATCTTTTATGGAATTGCAACGCCTGTATTTTCTCCAACTTGATTAGTTTTATTTATAATATAGTCTGGGACTATCTTTGTTTGTCTTTTGTTGAGTGTATATATACAGTCTGTAGTAAGAATTTTCATTTATATATTTACAATTGAGAACTTGTACCTGTGACTCAAAGCTGTCGTTATATTATCTATATCTATAAATTCTTTACTAACTTGTGTTGGCAATATTATTTTTTACACTCGAAGATATATCACATTGGACAAGAAACACACGAAAGTAAAATCAGAAGTTAGACGTTCGACTGAATGGTTAGTTTACACGTAGTCTTGTATTATTATATTAGTAAATACTACTCCTTGTCCTGCTAATAAATTTGATCAATTGAGATAGTGGATCAGATATAAATTTTAAGAATAAAAGTAAGCTTTGATTTAATTTGCTGGAATGTTACGTGAAATATCTACGCACATACATTATTTCGAGTAAGAAATTTCAATATTTATTTTTTTCCAAAGTGGAAAAATGTGACACCACACCACAAAATAATAGTTGTCTCGTAATGTCAGTCGAATGGATGTGAAATGTTTGCCGAGGCAAGGCCAGGATTATTTGGTGACCGTACATTTGAACCCATGTGTATATCAATCCATATGCGGGTGCTAAAACCCATGGGTTAGGGTTAGTATGGGTTCAAATATCAGCAAAACAAAAATATTTCCATAGGTGCAATAGTATGCAGGTGCAATTGTCGTGGGTTCAAATGTACGTGGGTTCAAATGTACGGGAACCGGATTATTTATATACAATTTTGACACCTTCCCTTTTTGATGGGAATAGCGTCATTGTTTTGAAATGATGTTATAAATAATATATAAGTATCATTGTTGTTTTTGTTGAAAAGTTGGTAGAAATTTGCTAAAGGCTTTATAGAACATTGGCAAACGACTGTTCAGCGGGCCCATTTGAAACACGTTCGCATGAAGCTACAATGACTTTTTACTTTTACTTCTACCGTTTTATAACTTCAAACCCAAATTATGAGAGCTGTGCGAATTCGTCTAAACAAACTTCGAGTTAAGGTGTTTGTTCAGTAGCAGTTATTTAGCACATCGCATTTGTGAGAAATTATATCATAACAATAGAAAGTTTTCTTTGTGATTATGATATCGATATAATAGCAGATCGAATGGAGTCTGCAAATATCGCTGCTAAATTCGTTAGTCAATTAAGTATGGTTAGCCGATTTCATCGTTTGGTTTATTATTACATACTAAAGTGCAGTGGTATCGAAAATAGATCTCGAATCAGTCGATATCAGATCGTTTGATATTTGGTATTTTAGTTTCATTTTCGGCCGGCTTCGCCACTAAAATCCTTCGTTGGTGCGCTTGGATTTTCTATATCAAATCCTGTTTTCATTATGTTAATTGGTAATTGAATATCTCGAATTGTTCAGCTATTATCTATGAATTTTTATGTGTAAATAAGTTTGAGCGAATATTCAAATATTGATTAATTCTCCATCTCTTCTATTTGATATTATTATATTGAGTAAAAGTCAATAAAAAGTGACTACTCAGGCCTGACATATAATTAATTAGGTGTTTTGTTTCATTATAACTTTTGGTGTCATTCTTGAACGATTACTTTGTTTTGCTTATATTTGTATTCACGTTTGCGCAAAGAAATCGGTTGCTAATGGGAATTTTTCGTGCTAGAATAAATCATAAATTCATAAGTAAACATAATTGATAGATCAAAGTGCAAGGATGATGACTGCCATTGTACTTCAAAAGAATCATATAATTAATTATAGTCAGACAATAATTATACAATCTCAGAAATTCAATTTTCAGGAAAATATAGACAATGGCAGGAGTAAAGATTATTCTAATAATTCTAGCTTTTCATATGCTAGTAGCATTGTATTTTCCTGCTGTCGAAAGCAAAAGAGGAAAGAAAGCTGGCCCTGGGCGAGGCCGCCCTCAAAAGAAAGGGGGAAAATCTTATATTTACGGGCCAGTAGGGCGGGGAAAGGGACCACATGGGGGGAAAAAACGACCTGCACCAAAAAGCCCAGGAAAGTCGAGGATACAAGATGATTTCTTCGACAGTGCAGACGATTGGAACAGACAGGGTCGCAGTGGAAAGTTTGCAAACTCGAAGTGGGGATATAATTCATATTTCACAGGTGAGAACCACGGGGTAATAAGTCGTTTGAAATACATATTATGATCAGAATACCAAAAAAAATGCGATTATTGATATAAGCAACATGAGAGCAATACTTGAACACATAGACAAGCGGGTCAAATCACTGCGTCAAAGATTGTTATTTCGATGACAATATATATTTTCAATGATATAATTTCACTATTTGTTGTCCATGTTACGCTAAATGTAATATTGAGACATTTATTTGGTTAATGCAACATACTTGTTACCTAGAAGATTAACGGGCAAGAATTGCCGCATGCTTATCCGGTACTTGGTAAGGCTGACTACTGAACTCGTAGAACGACAGAAATCCGTGACGGAGATCGTCGCTTGAGGAAATAAAAACCAATGTTCCCTTTAAAAGTAAAACATCGAAATTTTGGGTAAAATATGAAATTTCGTGAGACTGAGAATGAAAAAAAAAAAAAAATGTTATCCTGGCGATTTGAAATTGACTGGTCCATTGATTAGCAGGAAAGTGACCTTTCTTCACCAAAGTAGTCGCCCCAGAAATGCAATCCTAACATAAAACAGTTCCAAGCTCACATGGCTATTCCAGGAAATCGTATAAATAATATCTCAGCATAAAATGACATTAGTTACATATACATATATATAATATATATATATACATATGTATTCATTCAGACTCCAGAAATACTTTTCACAACCCGTATTTCCACATATTTTCGAGCAACGATGATTTTGAGTGGACGAGAGAGTTTGGTTGGCATCAGACCTCAGATACAGAAGACGAATATCACCAATCAGAAGAAACTACAACAGAGGCATCGGTTTTTACGACAAAATCTCCGACAACAGGTCAATCACGACCTGCATGGAGAAGTGAAGGCAGCTTCACAGTAAGTAACACTGTACATTGGCCAAAGCAAGCAATTATATATACCCATGTCTTCTAACTTTGTACTTAGATCAATGAAAGTTTTTCTCCTAAACCAATGGTTCCCAACCTTCGATGACCTGTTGCCCCATGCAGAAAGCTTTAGTTAGGCACTCATGGCCCCTTTGTTCACCATTTAAAGGTAGAAGCACTGCACGCTTTGCGCACATTCTACGCCATCTCGAATTACTTTGGTGAAGCCAACCTGATTGTCGTCCCGTTTCCGTTTTTTAGCAATATCAGAATGATACTTCATCTTGCCTTATTGTTTTGAAATCTAACCTAGGAGCTAATTATTTATAAACAACATTCAGTGGTTTTTGAGTCACTAACTTGTGTTACAGGTTATCACAATAAAAAATCTCAAAATCCATTTTTTTTACAATAGGGTGACATCAAACTAAAATGCCTAAAGAAAAAACCAAAGAAAAATTGTGGTTACGGAATTGTACAAATATACCACAAGGAAATGGAAAGTTGGGGCACGATATGTGGAGATAGTTGGAGTCCTAATTCAGCAAAAGTTGTTTGCAAATATTTGAATTACAGGTATAGTATTATGCGTACTTCAACTATATGAATGTAGAAAGTTTTTTTCTCGGGAGTTTTTTTTATATATACGTTCTGTGAAAAGCTGTCTACAAATGCTGGTTGAGCTTACTTCAGTCATAGCTAATTGAATCCATTACGCGTTTCCATTCTAAAGTTGATAAATAGCCTGACTAATAAAAACCGTACCGCTAGATATTTACCTTACCGCTGTAATGTCGAAGTATTCAGAAATCGGGTTCAGGACTTTGAATTCGACAACGACTCCAGATTGATATAAATTGGTCTCCGACTCGAATTCCGAACTTTTGGTAAACCAAATTTTATTCATAAAAACTTCAGCGTATACATAGACTGTTCGAAGCGCCAAAATTTGACTTTGACTGTCATGAGTTTTAATATAAGACTCCGGCTACGACTTCCATGAGCCAATGCATAGCCCCAATCTCATGTCTCAAACTGCAATTTAAAAGAAGCATAGACCAAAATGTTCACCAGAACGAAAAACGCTGTCGTGCGATTACGGTCAAAATTCATTCATCTACTTAACACAAATGAAAAAATCAAAAATATTTGTTTTTATTACTTATCAGAACAGGTAAGGCTTTGCAATTGGGTGCAAAAAAGATTCCAGGGGAACTGAAATATTCTGCAAAGTATCTTCGTAAGCTTCAATGTCGAGGTGAAGAATGGAGCTTGACAGATTGCTTTGGGGAAAAAGTAAAACAAAATTATACTTGCAAGAAAGAAAAATTAGCAGCAGTTAAATGCTCAGGTAAAAGCTATTTTAGCGATCAACCAGGTTGATCATGTTACCCCCTTTTATTATCTAGAATCGTGCGTATGAATTGCAAGAATTTCGCCAAACTTACAACAAATGAGATCTCGATACAGGCATCAATTGAATCACAAATTACCATTAAAAATTATTAAGAAGAAATCAAAACATTCAACTTGTCAAAGTGCTTGCTTGTTATGTTGACAATTGTTTTAAAATCTTATAGAAATGTATATTATTTTTGCAGGATATTTAGGTCCAAAAAAAGATTCTGGATCTACTGGAGTTACATGCAAAATGTCAGAAATGAATTGTAAATTAGGCGATCGATGTATCACACCAACATACGTTTGTGATGGAATGAGTGACTGTCCTTGGGGATCTGACGAAGAGAATTGCAACAGTGGTAATTATAAGTTGCTTCCTCGACTGATTTTCTTATATTCTATCACAAATATAACTTGATAGATAATGTAATAAATAAGAAAAGATGCGCAATTAACAATGACTACAGTTACGGTGAATACAGAATTAGATGAATATGGCCTGTAGGGAAAGGAAGCGATTATGTACGTATAGTTTGGGGGAAAATACCCGCAACCAATAAATGCGCTGATCTGAACGCATTGTCACTATGATAGAGCAACAATGTAAATACTTCAAATATTATTTTGTCAAGGAAGCATTGTTTTGTTTTCTCAATTTTGTCTCGATGTGAAAACCTTCATATAAAAACCTAACTAAGCAGGGCAAGAAACTTTTAGCCAAATGTCTAAAATATCATATCTCTGGTTGATGTATTAGATAACTAAATTTTATTTTCAACTAAATTAAAAATAGTACTAAACGATAGATTGTATAAATTTAAACTTCATCAGAGTCATGTGAATTCTGTCATTCCAATGTTGAAACTATCAGCCACCTTTTCTAAGATTGTATAGTTGTTCAACAGTTTTGAGAAACTCTAAACCTGTGTATATACTCAAAAACAGGGATTAATTTTAACTTTTCAAAGAGAGATTGCATGTTGGGATATGTTTTTAATTTTTATAACAAATTGTATAACTGCATACTTCTTGCTGCCCATGTTTTATCTATATCGTTGTAAGATACAGAAAAAGAAACCACTGTTTAATGTTTTTACCTCATATCTGTATGAAGTGAGGGAAATTGAACGGTTCATTGCATATAAAAATGGCAAAATAAAGAAACATGATCAAAAATGAAAAATTTTATGATACAATTACTGATTATTTTATATGATGAATCGTGTATTGTTTATGATTAGTGGTTAATAATGTTGTAGATGTACCGATCAACTGTGTTTTATATATTAATAAATATATACAAAAAAAAAATAATTAAAAATCGAATAATAGTTATCTACATCTCTGACTTTTTGTTATCTTTATTTGACCTGTATTGATCGCTTCAATACATTAGTTTTATTCGAATTGCAGAAAATTGCAACAAAGATCAATACTGGTGTGGTCCGTCGGGAGGTGGATGTATATCGAACGAATTTTTATGTGACGGAGAACCGGATTGTATTGACAAAAGCGATGAAAGAGAATGTGGTATGACCAATGATTTTTAACGCCACGATAAATATACAGATAATTCTGTACGCACAAATAATAATTTCCATATTTTCAAATATTTTTAAATTTTTCCATTTTATAAAAAATGATATTCGGTTTAATAGGTGGCTATCTTTAAGCATCACTCCAAATGATATTGAATATTGTGAAGAATGAATAGTTATTGTCATCATTCAAAAGCCATATCGGAATATTCGTTTTTGTACAAATGCTTGCCCAACATATTTCCCAATATATTTTTCAAGATGTATGTATACATTAACAAACAATATTATTTCGAATTAGAATTTAAAAAGCAAAATATTCAATTCACGAAGAACTGAAATCTCCAATACGTTGACGTAATTATTTTAAGACTGTCTATTATGATCTTTACTTTTAGACAACCAATACGAAATACCTATTTCCTTTTCCAGAACGTTTCCTGGAAGCATTCACAAAAACCGACGGCAGAAAGTTACGCACGCGAAAGTCAGAAGTTGAATGGACGAACATGAATGCTTACATGTGTGCACAAAAATGCAAAGAGGAAACAGAATTTGTGTGTGCGTCATTTGATTTCAACAAGGTACTGAAAACTATTAGATCGTAGCATTCTGGTTTTGTCAGATATACATAATGTACATAGATTTGTGATCCTAAAAGCGAGAATGGCATAAGAGAACTATTTCTGAATAATAATTTTACTCAACAGCAATATATTCCTATAATGAACGAACAATTTTTGACCAAATGAATATAACCAAGCGGATGCCCAAGATGCCTCTGACAACTTTTTTCTTCGATATTACTGCATACGAAATGGAGCTATATGAACCTTTTTGGCAGATTATTGTCGTTGGGAATGTTTACGGTGATGGGCCCCGTTTTGCTTTTTAACTACCAGACTAAACAATACAAAATATACAGAAGTAAAACAGAAGTGTCTTTCAAAAAATTCATTTCCTATTTTTCTTTGCTTTCCGTTACACCTATTGTCTTATTGAAATTGTTGTTTTCTAAAATTCAAATCGCTTCACCCCTAGGTGGGACACATATTTATTACAGGAGGAAATTTAAACACACGGCTTATACAGATGGCATCTTACTGCCTCTTGTATTATGAATCTTTGGTGATGTATGTCATCTAATCATTTCCACGTGAATGTTGTCAATGAAGGTACTTGAACGGAAAAACCTTAAGAATTTGAGCATGAGAACCCCCACGTTCTCGCAGAGTGAAAATACCACGCTAAGAAGTACATAAGTAAAAATGCGAACCTAAAACAATATCCATATTCCCAAATAGGATCAAGAGGGCGGATTTTTAAAAATGTTCACGTTATTTATTTTTAGAAATCACAAATATGTCTTCTGTACTCTCCATCGGCGCCAAAAGAATTAAAAAAATCCAAGAAATGGGTTCATTACAAGCTTCGGGAAATCAGAGAAGGTTGCAAATATTTTGATCAAACAACTTTCATATTATGCTGTGTTCTTCATATTTTATTTAATATCGGCTCGTTCACGTTTCAGATTGCGCTGCAGACCACAAGTACAGATGCAAGGATAGAGTTTGTATTGCCTATAACCAAGTTTGTGATTCCACAAATGATTGTGAAGGCGGCGAAGACGAATCTGAATGCGGTAAAATCAAGTAAAAATTGTTTCCTATTAGACATCAATATTCGGGAAAGATAATATTCAATTATCTTGTTTTGTTAGAACCAATGAAAATTCGCTTGAGAGGAGGATCGGGACCATTTGAGGGGCGTGTTGAAGTCTCGAAAGGACTGCAATTTGGCCTTATTTGTGACACAAAATGGACTATTCGAGAAGCAAACGTGGTCTGCCGTCAATTGGGGTACAGTAGGTGAGGAAATGGTCAAATTGAATACGAAGATTTTAAAAGCGGAATAATTATGACAGGGCTGGTTATAATGTATGTACTTACAAGCAACGAGTTTTTGTTACTATTTTTTAGGGGAGCCTCGGAAGCATTGAACGGTGGTAGTTTTGAGAGAAGCACCAGAGGGTACAAGTTGGATAACGTGCGTTGTATCGGGAGAGAATCAAATCTTGAAGATTGCAGAGATGCTGGATGGGGAGAAACAAAATGCAGAGTCGATCATGAAGCAGGCGTTGTCTGCCTTACGGATGGTAATATCATATTTTGATTAGTACTAGTGCGTGGGATTGGTAAATGCTACTTTGGTGACGATTTACGAAAGTTCCGATTATTCTACAAGTATAGAATGCGTATGGCCAGTGGCTAATATTGCTTTTAAACGGGGGATATCTGCAAAAAGCTGCTTCCTTGCAAATAACGCACAGTTGTACAAGGAATTGAGTTAAACTACCGATTTTCGAATGAATACAGTGTATGTAATAGTTTAAACTATTTTGAAACGTACTTGTGTTGTGCCTGATATTTATATATACTGAAAAAGGTATACTATCGCGAAATAGAACGCGATGTATCACAGACACGAAATTAATTCGATTTCAGAAACAACCACTGTTTTGACGACGACCCCAATACCAGCATCAACTGCTGCAACAACTACGCCAACAACCATTGCAACAACTACGCCAATAGTGAATAACTGCGGCGTGAAACCACCAGAAAGTCTCGTGGAAGCTCCACAAGCGCGAGTTGTCGGTGGTTCAGGAGCTAATCCGCATGAGTGGCCTTGGCAGGCGGGAATTTGGTTACCTTGGACCTACTGGTGCGGAGGATCGCTAATTCACCCTTGTTGGGTACTCACGGCTGCCCACTGTTTCGAGTAAGTACCCTTGTGGTATTCCGTATTTATTTTGCGAGCTTATTAATTTCATACATATGTGCTGATTGCTGTACGCATATATATGAAAAATTCAAGAGGGAATATATTGTAAATAACTATCTGATATTGCAGACGTAAATATCCTCTAAAATACTACACCATACGCCTGGGTGATCATGTCACAGGAACAGACGACGGCACAGAACAGGAGTTCAAGATAGGTGAACTATTCAAACTTGAATATAACTCAACTACTAAAGAACACGATATGGCTCTGATAAAGGTATACTACTTGTTTCGGAAGAAACATGAAAATATTTTGTAAAATTTTTAATGTTATTCCAATTTCATTTATTATTTTCTGTAGCTTGAATCTAAAACTGGAGAATGCGCACAACTTACAGATGCCGTTCAACTAATATGTGTTCCAAAATCTCCAGAGCAGTTTAGCGAAAAGACAATATGCCACGTTACAGGCTGGGGAAAATTATCAGCAAAATGTGAGTGTTGATATGATACGTGAGCCTAACACTTTGTGTGTAAATCTGCACATGGTTATATATATCGTTGAACTCATCAATGTCGTATTTCACCACCTCGCCAAGGATGTAATAAATTGAGTAAGCAATGTGTGGTATACTTTGTTACGGCTCCCATTATTTCATGCATGAGTGACCTTATATCGATCTCGCTTTTCTTTTGTTAATGCTTCAGTCAATGACTGTGTGTTTCTGAAATACATTTTGAATATCTACAAACATCGTCTATTCTTCGAATTTACGACACAACACAATGTCGAACCAAATAGATTCCGGTTCTTCCAAAACCTAATAGCTCCTCACGTAGAATTAGTTATACACACTTTGTTTGGAGTGAAAGACGCGTAAAAAACATATATATATGTAAAATCACCAATCATCAATATCTCTAATGTGTATACAGCCACAAGAACATATACTCCAATTCTTCAAGAGGCGGCTGTACCCCTCATATCGGACAAGAAATGCAAGCGTGAAAGCGAATACAAAAATCTATTAAAAAAAGACATGATGTGTGCTGGATATCTCAGTGGCGGAATTGATAGTTGTCAAGGAGATTCGGGAGGACCATTATCTTGCCAAGACGTCGCGGATGGTGAGATTCTAGCACATTTTTAATGTCTTTGTCAAAGCTTTAAATTATATTTCTAACAATCGTTAAAAATAAAACGAATTATTGTAATCTTTCCTTATGTGGTAGTTGGCCTTATGTTTCTACGGCACAAAAGTTATTGTGCGTTACTGTTTTTGAAATTTCTAATTTCCTCCTAGGACGTTACTACTCTTGGGGTGTTGTAAGTTGGGGAAATGGATGCGCCCAACCAAAGGCTCCTGGCGTCTACGCAAAAGTTGGGAATTATCTGGATTGGATTTCCGAGACGACAGGAATCAATTTTTAATTGGAAAAGGGTGAATTCAACGACGACACTCACATTCTATTTTATCACGGAAATGAAACAATATATGTATAATAAAAGTCAACGCATTTATTAACAAACATTCAAGTCTTGACTAAAAACACCTTGCTTTTAAAATTTTGGGCATATTGATTAAAAAAAATTGTTACAAGCAGAATGAGAATATTTGATATATGTTTATTTCATTTTTCAAGCGTAACCGAGGCTGAAAAGTGAAAACAAAGTGATAATGTCGAATAAATACGGGCTAGAGCAGATATATTAGACGACTATATCTAATTATCATGGAAAAATAGTTCGTATTATTTTTATATTTTTACGTTAGTATGATATTAGTCCCTCCGATGATACTTTATTAAAAACCGAAGAACTACCACATTTCGAATATGAGAAGATCAATATTATAAGCAAATTTCTTGTGAGATAGATCTTAAAGATTAGCGTAATATACCTATCAGAAGTAGTTCGATTCCCCAACATACATAACCGGTGTTAAAGAGAAGGCATCAATCGCTTGACGTGGGATTCCCTAAATTTTACCTTCTGCAAGAAGGAACTATATGACGTGGCAAGTTTGGAGATTGTTTTTCTTCGATGAACCTATTTCTATTTTGACCGAAACTATCAATATTGTTGTCCTTTTCATGATTGTAGCCTCTCTTCTTAACGGAGTGTCGCAATCTGTCATCTTTTCGTGATTCGTGTTTAGGCATTCCAGTTGCGCCCTCGGTCGTATTTCGTTTTTTTAATGCAACATGTTCCTTTGTTCTAAATTGTCTAGTTTCAGCTTCCAAAGTTCTTGAACGATCTACAGATGTAAAATACCATCATATATATTGACTTACATCAAACGTTAAATGACAACGATTTTTAAAATGATTTATATTGGATAAAGCGGATTGCGCCCACAACCGTGAATGTCGGTGATTGAATCTTTATTTAGGTTTCACAGTGCATGGTGCCAATAAAATATTACATTTGTCTCCTCAATTTATCAAAATTACAAGTAAAATACTAACGTTCGATACGAACGAAGTTATGTTAGGGAAACTGGAATCTGGCTTACTAGCGCTACCAGCGTACTTTGATTATCACGATTTATTATTTTAAACATAGGATAGGCCGAGTTGATTTATATTGCGTTTGGAAACTTACCACTTTTTATTTTGTTTCTTTCCTTGACTCTATAGTTTCTCCCGGCCACCCCCATATCGTTACCAAAGTCTGGTAAATCACGTTTGCTTGATTGGCTCTTGTAATTTGGAGATTTCGGCAAAAAAACATCGGAATCTCCACTGTCTATCGAACCATCGTTGCCAGATCCATAACGTTGATTTACCAAAGACTGTCTAGATTTAAATTTTGGCATTTCGTTTCCGTGTCTGTCAAAAACTTTGGTTTCTTTTGTAGAAATTATCCTTGGTTGTTGCTGTTGTGACTGCATGTATATACTGTCAAATTCGCAAAATTTTTCGTTATTCAGAGCTTCAATTGCTTTTTTCTGATCTGGGCCTTGGCTTCTTTTATTATTGTATCGATACGGCACTTTCTTTGCATGAGAGGAATTTGACCTCCCAGCTGGTCTTCTATTTGATTTTCTTTCATTTAGCGTTCTCGGGGACACGGACTTCATTTTCATTTCGAGTTCAGGATTTTCCAGATAAGCCCCATTTGTCATTCCGTGCCTGCTTTGTGTATGTGCGTTATGCATGTTTGAGATAGTTCTGGCGTTTGCATTTCCATGAAGGCTCAACTTTCTATAATCAGGTGGCGGATCTGAGTTATTTGAGTCGGTGTCTGGGTAGACTGCTCCTTCACGTAAATGCATGGAATGATTCATAATTCTGGTTTGACCAACTACGACAGTTGGGGCAAGTATATTTCTCTTTGCACAGACGACGTTGTCCTGTAACACAGGCAAATATATATATATCATTATGGAGAATTGATAAAAAAAATGAACAATATCTTACGTATATTCTTCGTACATTATACCTGGTGTTTCAATATTATGGCTACAATAAAGATTGATACTACAGGGAGATAAGACTTAAAATAGTATGCAAACAAGTGCGAATAATATTCAAAACATATAGGGTTGCAAAACGGGGGTAGTGTGTTCCTAGCTAATGATTTTCTCTCGACTCATGTGCTACTGGATTCGCATGATCCGATCGCAAAGATAGCAATCAATGAATTGTTAAATCCGCCGCTCCATGAAAGAGCACATTTCTTTGAAATCCAATGGAATTGCAATAAATTTCACCAAATGATAAATTAGAATGTAAAAATATATTACGTGTGTCATGTTTATCTTCGGTAATCCGGAATTGGTCCCCACAGCTTCTCCTTCTTTTTCTTTGTCCTTGTTTTTATTATTCATAAAAAGCTTTCGAAGAATAAGGAAAATGATGATTAGTCCAATAACCCCACCTACAACTATACCGACTATAGTTAGCGTAGACATGCCACTTTCGGCATCAGAACTCCCGCCAATGGGCTTGAACCGTTCATTATTACTCCCGCTGTTGATCTGGCGTTTTATGGGATGATCTTCTAGATAAAATCAGGAGTTGTATATATATATGCACTTGAAAATATTGTAAGAATGCATATCAATTGACATACGTGTAATATCGGTTGCAACTAGTTGACCGTCCGAATTGATCATCATAGGTCCAGATTTTTTTCCTTCTGATTTATTTGTAGATTTTTTATTCGTCTCTTTCTTCTCGGACTTTTTATCTTCCAGGTCAGAATCTTTTGTTTTTGGACGACGCATTGGTGGAAGTGGTTTTCCGTTGAAACTTTTCTTTGCTTTAATTGAATACGTATGAATAAACATCATTGACAAATTTATCAGAATTGTGAAAAAGCAAATAATTTACAATTAACTTACAATAGAATCCCGATTTAGCTTTCGTTGCCATGAAGCTAAGAGAAAATCCTCGTTGGTATTTCTCAGACGGGTCTCTTTGTAAATCCATTCTAAGTTTGTTACCTGTTGGGTTGCAGTGAAACATCTCATAAAAAATGGAAAACTATGATGATTTCGAAACAAAATACTAAAAAAGGATGCAACCTACCTTGCGATACAATGTCACCACTAGTTTTCCGTCCACACATTCGTCCTTGAGACTTCCCTAAAACTTCATCAATGATTTCTAAATAATTGGACGAGCAATGGTCGGTATCTTCAGCATACAAGTCAATTCCTCGGAATGCTATTCGAATATGTAGCTTTCCCGGTGCAGTAATTCTTAAAATGTCAAAGTTTATTTTAGAAATATAATTTTTAAGGTACAGTGGGCTATTTTACAAATATAAATTTTAGGGAACAGAGCAGAGCGCTATAGAAATACCGTGACATAGACTCAGGAGACGTTATAGTATTCCAGATATACTTTGTGTGTGTTTCAGAAAATCACTTCATATTACCACTAGATAGAGCTATGATAGCAGACATATGGAATGTGCTTCTATACTTATTAATAATTAACTATATCATGAATTCAACGCACTTTACCTCGTACAAATCGACGGTTGCCAGTTAGTAAGTGACGAAATCAGTGTGAATTTTGACGAGGATAACTATACGTTATATTATGATATATATGATATAACAAGAAACACGGTTTTAATGGGACGAGCAATTTTCCGAAGTTTCGGATTTCTCTCGAAAAAAATGGATTGGTTCGGATTTCAAGCGAACGCTACTGTGTATTAAAGATAACGCTATTATGTGCCATCAACATTTGACACAATAGCCGCATTAATATTCCCTCGAGCCTTGAACTTTTAACGACCATGTTAGAACCATCACAAAATTCACAACTTCTCAGCTTTGTATTGCGACCACAGAACAAACGGCCTCAGGACATAAACCGGCTCGCAAAAAGTTACACTGGTTACGGTTTTCTGTGTTTTACAATACAAAAACGTTTTTGATTAATTTTAAACTATTCTAAAAGTCTTCGACATAGTATGCGTGGCCCCGGGCAATCTTTTGAGTCGATACTTGAAATATGAAAGTTGCCAAACAACAGCAGGAAGTTTTTCATGCTGAATCCGAATCGAATTAATAATAAAAATATAATTCATATATTGTACTCTAATATAACATAATGGCACAATACAATACATATTTACTTCCATGTACATCGCGAATGTTTCATATTCAATGCCTTTGGATACCCCGGTGTATTGATAGTTTTCCATGTTTTTCCCGCTTTCAACTTCTGTATGCAAAGCCCTAAATTGATAAAAGGAAACACAGTTATATAAGTTATGTTTATTTCTGCCAACTAGCAACTGCACAGTATCAATAAAGTAGTAAACGAATAGAAAAACTCATTCATGATCGAGGAAAGAGCAATTGTGAACATTCAAACATGGCTTTTTATCTTTCTGTACGGAGTTCGTAGATAAAATATGATTTAAGTTTTGATGGACTGTAGTATCACAAGAAATTTGGTCATCTAGGCCAGGTTAAATAAAAATTGCACACAAGTCGACTGCTATTCTCCATGAGAAAAAATATTGACAAATTCTTTCATATTTTACCGGTATCAATAATTAACTTCGTTGTGCGTGTTAACTAAAAATTTCGAGTATTTTTTTTTCAAATAGCATTCTCGTGATGTGTATTTGAGTGGAACTAACAAACATTTGCGCTCGGTTTCAACTTGATGAATCTCAAAAAATAAAATAAAATAAGCGTTGAGACCCAATTGCGCCATAGACCCTGGTTTAGCCAATTTTGGGCCTTCTATAAACTCCTGAACTGATGGATATAAAATAAACGAGATGGACAAAACAGAAGCCTTTACTTCGAAATTAAAGAACCAACTTACTGTAACGATTGATGTGTTCACAAGTTAATATTAGAAGCACAATTCATTTACTTACATGTTGGTTCTGCTTGATGGCTTTCTCCTAAAACTCGCCTTTTCAATGGAGCTACGCCTTTTCCATATACATTACATGGAATTATGAGAACAGACAAAAACAGAAGTATATCGGATAGATCCATAATATGTAATTTCAGATCGAACTGAAGTTCATTTCATTTTGAAATAATATTCCGTAGAGGTACAGGCTTGTCTAACTGTTAAATGACTTCATAACGTAAAACCTCTGCGCCATCCAGATGCTTAAAAAAACCTAGAACAATTGCATGTAATGGTTTATTTCCCGATTTGTATACGAGTATTCTCCCGATCTTATTTCAGTGACAAAAGTGCTTCTTATTTATATTTCCTGAACAGACGCTGAATTTAAGTACAATTATCGGTACAATCCTCGAAAACTGACTAAATTTTGGTTTCGACCCGCAGGCAAATTTTATCTTACTGGTCTTAGCAGATGTATACGAGTACTTGGTCGCGTACATCCAGCCATGTATTGTGATAAAAGAAAGACCCGAATATTTGGCTACGTCATTCGTTGATTAAAATATGTAGAAATACACTAAAGATTGTTAAATCTGCATTTTCGGGAAATCAATAAAAGTATTACAACAGATTCGTAGATTTGATGCTTCAATAAAATTGATATATAAATTTTTTGAATCCCACCATTGGATAAACATATATATATATAGCGTTTAGAGCAGTGGTTGCCAACCTTTTTTGATACATTTCCCCTACATGTTCTAGGTTAAAACTCTTTATTTCCTTCCCACTATTAATTAGCATAGAGATTCTGTTTCCATTTGTTTATTAATCTTGTATATAGTCATCATCTAGTGATACATGCAACCAGTGGTGGGATTCCGGGGATTTGCGCGAACCCGTTCTTGGAGTGTCGTGGCAATGAGCGAACCCGTTGTCGACCATTTTGTTTTAGACAATCGCAGTGAACGGGTAACGTGGGATTCCGGGGACTTGCGCGAACCCGTTCTTGGAGTGTCGTGGCAATGAGCGAACCCGTTGTCGACCATTTTGTTTTAGACAATCGCAGCGAACGGGTAACGTGCATTATTATAGGCGTTTCAAAAGATATGCATTAGATCTAGATGAGGCGTGTAGCTTACCGCTTACCTACTGACACACATTAGGCTCTGGTCATCAGCTAGTGATACATGCAACAAGTTGTGGGATTCAGAGGGTTCGCGCTAGGTCGTTCTTAGAGTGCTGGGGTAATGAACGTGAACACGTTCTCGTTTTAAACGTTGGTCTATCGCAACAAACGACTAATATGCGCTATTATCGTCTTTCGAAAGTTATGTGTCAGATCTATGTAAAGCGTGTTACATTAATGTAGCCCACCCACTGACGCTACATTAGTAAATATTATGCTGTTTAAGTCATCAATGAGAAAAGTTGCTGTTACATATTTCCGGAAGTTTTATAACCCTTGGTTGGTATTGTGTAGTTTACACATGTAAGACTTATATCTCGACTGGGGCGGTTTCAGGAACTCGATATTCTGAAAATCATTTGCTGCTAAAACACGGATTCGCATGCATATTAAATACGTGAGTTCAACTTTATAAAATTTGGTTTACAATCGACATCGTATGTGTGAAAAGAATATACTGCATAGGGCATATAGTACGTGTATACCCCCATAAACGTTCTGCCCCCTTGATTCATTGCATCCATGAAAAGGAACTAGTGTAACAAGACATACAAGTAGTATTGTGTTGTCATAGTAAGCTTAGCCTTACGATATTAGATTTTTCTGGGAACCATAAGCCGTCACCAAAAGAGCCATATATGGTATTCTCCGTTTCTCGCCTTTCTTTTTCAAACAGAAATCCACCAAGGCAAGAGCAACGACTAACATATTATAACATGCGGTATGCACAACGCTGTCAAACTACCAATACTGACGTAAATCTCTGTTATGGTGCCATAAAACCTAAAAACGATATTCAAGGATTAGAGTTCGCGCTGTTTATCCTCATTATCATATAAAATAGCCTGCTCATCATCGACCAATTACTTGCTAGGTGAGTATTGATTTATACTTAAAGCTAAATTTTTATCTTAAAATTTGTCAATCAGAATCATTTGTGAAACAATACCTGAATGTTGGAACATGACTCTTCCGTGAAACATCGGTCGAACTTTCGCTATCGATCAAAGAAAGTGTAAAAAAGAGCAGATTACTTCGCAAGCTTAACTACACGGAAGTATATAGCTATTCCCCCATTTACTATCGGAGTGAGTACAAGTACCGTGTTTCCCCGAAAATGAGACCTACCCCGAGAATAAGACCTAGCCTGAATTTTGAAAATAATTTTAATGTAAGCCCTATTTTTTTGACCTAGTCGATGGCAAGAAATCTCTTCTACACGTTTTAAATGTTTAATCTAAAACGTGTGAGGGAGGAAAACGTGTCATTTATAAAGAAATGGATATCGGTTTTCATATTTTGCAATCTGAAAATCTGGTAATTCTCTACTTTGTAATTTTGATTTTGAAGAATGAAAATATAAGACAACCCCGAAAATAAGCCCTAGTGCTATTTTTCGAAAAAGAATTGAAGACCCAGTCTTATTTTCGGGGAAACACGGTATATAGCTTTTCCTCCGTTACTATTAGTTGAGTAGCCTACCTTTCCGCAAGACCTTCTAAATTCTGTACTCTTTAAGCCTTAAGGTTTTGTTTTTACACTCCCATAATCAGTTTTATCAATTATTTTATCGTGTGTGGATGGGCACAGGCGCTGGTTACAGCACTTGTTGTAAACCTTTCTCCACGTTTTGTCGCTCTTCCGGTCTCCCTTGGGTGTATTTATCACATTTTTGTTAGTGTTATGTGTTGCGGACGAGAGATCGAAATAAAATTGTATTGTTATGCTGATTATAAAGTCCAAATAATCTTACACTATAGAAACACCAAATTAATTATCTCATTCTTCAGAGTCGATGGCAACCTATTGATCGAGAATAGTTCGTTTTCTTGGCTGTTTTCCTTCCTCATCCTCATTAATATTCAGTGTAGGGATCATACAGATCCATCGAACAAATTTTATAAGATTTACTTATGATTGTTTAATAATCATTGTGTAGCAGCAAAATGAAGCACAGTAGATTAGAAATTGCGTACAAATATCGAGAGACAGGCAACAAAGCAATAATATTCAAACACTGGAAATTGTAGTTTAAAACTTGGAAATGAATACAATGTAATATTCGGGTGAGAAAAAAGCGTCACTTCTTTTGCCATTACCTTTTTTCATTGAAAATTAGTTAGTTTTAAACCATAACGTTGTGTTTGATCTCTTGGTTCTGTAATCTGTTTTACCACCTGCTATGCTCATAGATGGTGTCAAAATAAGTTTATACTTGTTAAATAGACACCGCACAACAAACCAATTGCCTCAAATCGTAAATTATGATTCTGCTTTTTGGTTTCTCGCGATTTTCACCCTGAAATGCCGTATTTAAGTTCCTTTATTATATTTATTTGCATGAAGTGTTCTTTTCTGTTTGGTGAAAAAATAAATTACTGCTTACTCATTGGATCATAATAGCTTCACATCGACTACTCGTCATGAGAAAAAGTTGTAGTACTGCATAGGATAGTCGTTTCGAGCTCAAGCTAGCCCAAAGCAGAAGCTTTGTTGGGTATCAGCGCTTACATACCATTATACCCAATCTCTTGGTTCTTTCAAGACCTCTAAAAGCTCGTATTCTGGTGTACCAAGTTTTGGGGTGTGCATATACTCCCATCTTGCAGTTAGAGGAAGAGACATTAAAATACTCTCAATCCGCGCACCAGGAGTTACAAAACCGAACTTCGTTCCGCGATCATAAATGAAATTGAATTCAACATATCTGAAAGGAATAAAATGTGAGAGCAGTGTCTCTGTAAGCAGGTTCATGTATATCAGTATCATTAGATTTGCAACCAAAGTCAATTTACAAATGTTATTTATGAGTTTATTTAAAATAGCCAACCTCCCCCTTCTCAACTGTTGCCATGCTTTTTGTTCTTCCGTAAATTCTTTGTTCATATTGCTTTCAATGATTGGTATATATGATGGAATTATTGCACCACAACAGCTTGTAACAAAGTCAAATATCTAAAAAATAACAAGATCGATAACATTCAAGAAACAGGTCTTCGCATTCAGTATCCTATATAAATTCAGTCTATACGGTATACCACTTATACGTCAAAACAAATTTCTAAGTTCAACTAGTGTTTGGAGCTAATAGACTAGACTCTATGGATGACACAAAAACAGGTGCCGAACTGCCAATATTAGAAAGAATAAGCATCATCATAGAGAAATTTCTAGCAACATACAGGGTACAGGTTGAAATCTAGAGTAGACAACTTTATTTGTTTATTTAAATACACAATATAAAACTGAGCCTTGTTCCCATCGTGGTTGTCCACAATTCCAATATGAACATTATATCAATTAAAACTATCTCTTCTGAATAAATCAAAAGTAAGAGTTCATTTAATAATAGCTTTATATTCCTATCTTGAACATACTTCTTGGGGATTTTCTGCTTCCAGATCATCAAAAAATATTCCACCAACACCCCTTCTTTCGTTACGAATTTTAATGAAGAAGTAATCATCACACCATTTCTTGAATTTCTCATAATAACTGGGGTCGTGTTTATCACATGCATTTTTCCATGCTTTATGGAACTGTGTCACTTCATCTTCTACCAGATACATGGGTGTTAGATCACATCCTGTTACAAAAACAAACAATAAGATTGATACTTGAATAAGGAAAATACTCGAACTGAATGTTTAGTTCAGAAGACAAAAGTGACTTTTCTACCAAAGAGGTATTTATATGCTTCCTAAATACATACAAGTCGCGAAACATTATATATACTTACCTAACGTCCTTGGGAATTCAAACAATTTTTTTACAGAAACTAGAAAAACTAGATTTACTGTTCTCAGTTCCTATGAGTGTATTGAAAAAGTCTTGGATACGCCAGAGTTTTTATTATATATTTTTTTCAAGTTCAAAGAGTTCAAAGCTGGAAATAGAGTAGAAATTTCAAAATATCTAGCAGATGAAGTTCAAACTTTATCAACTCTGAGTCACAGGTAAAATCATTTCAACTCAGAGTTGATTGTAAGTGTAACTTCACAGCACTGATCAACTCAATCATATTCATGATTAGCTTTTGACACTCATATCAGAAAAGTTTACATCTCTGCTGAAGAAATTTTCAAAGTGTCATAGTATTAAACTCGTTTTGAAATTTTCTCAACATTCATAGAAATAACTAACCTCCACCGAACCACCATGTTCTTTTCCCTTTTCCATCAACAACTTCAAAATAACGAAAATTAAAATGTAAAGTTGGACAATGTGGATTAGTTGGATGAATGACTGAACTTACTCCCATTGCTACAAACGGTAATGTACCATCCTTTTTTCTGAAATTTAAATCTGAAGAATATCTCAGAGAAACACACAATAAAATTTCTATAATAATACATGGCAGCAACAAATATTAAGACACAGAAAATTATAATATTTTCAGTATTTTTATCATATTCATAAACACTGTTTTGCAGAAGATGATAACATAGCATTTAGCGAACCTTGTATAATGCTTTCCTCTTGCTCTCATTTGTTTTTCTAGATTTTCTGATAAGCTTCCTCTAACAACAGAAACATTGACGCCAGCCTTCTCAAATACCTGTAAAATTCAATTACAGGTATATCTATATTTAATTTCATATTGAAGAAACAGATTCATCAAAATAATTTCATTTTAACCAGAGAGTGTCATGAGTCGCTAAGTCGAAAGATACAATGAGACATATATATGTATATATAAGTATATGGGATGGACGATTGATTCATAGCAATAAGTACTACAGTAAGTGTACTATAATTGTTTAGAATAAGATTTGAAGTTTGAAATTTTGGTATATAACAGTGATGCAACAACAATTAAAAACCTGATAAACAGACCTTGCCATCTTGCAATATACAAGTCACACCTCCACCAGTATTATTTTCTTTCGACCATTCATCAATGGCAAAATTTCTTCCTTCTAATCTCTCTAGCTCCCTGCATATATCAACTTGTGTCTTCATTATCAAATGTTCCATCTTTGATGAAACTTTATCTGCATTTCTCTCAAGTTCATAAATATCTAGATTTACAAAGGAAATGTTTTTATGCAACTGCTATGGATGTGCTGTGGGTCTTGAGATAATTGTTGTGTTTTCCTTGAACCCCTGATACATGAATACATACACACCATTATCATAAAGCAGTAATGTGTGAACCTGATGAAGCATTGAATTTACAGCAGCGTAGCAAAAACTTGAAAAAACTCAGAAGTCAGGAATATTGTTCCAAAAGTATTCTTACTCTTCCGCGTGTAACAAGATTCTTGAAATAATGTAATTTTAACTCAGGAAGAAAAAGTACAGTACCTGTGACTGGTTTAGCCATGTATGTATTGCAGACATCTCTTATATTTTTAGCATTAAACCTTGCATGAACGGGATATGAAATTCCATATTTTTCCAGACAATAAACAACTCCTCCCACCATTCCTGTCATCACAGCGATACCAGTTGCAAACTTTGATAATTTTTCATGGCTTCCATTGAATCTGGCATAGCCTCGATGAAAGACTAACCATTTTCTTGTCTTATTCAATAAATCAGGTTTTCTAAGCATTATTACTGTATTATATAAGAATAGTATAGGATAAATCAGACAAATAGGCAGACTTCTGTTGATGAAAAACTTTTGTTATGAACATTGCAAGATCTTCCCCATCATCTCAAGCAAATGAACAAAAAGAATACGCTCGCCACCGCATCTCTGATTACCCTTCGTGGGATCGCAGGTTCGAATCCCATGCGGGGATGATCATGTGCGAGAGGATTGCTGGACTCCTCGCAGTCGTGTAGGGTGGTTCACGTAACTGCTGGTCGGTTACGGCTTCCTCCACCATCAAGTCCATGCTTCCGAAAACAAATAACTGGCTAACTAATCCCATACCAGCATACCCGACCTGGACTGGTAACCGGACGAGAGGCTGTGGTTCGCCATTTGATTAAGCCGTCTTATCGGCTTTCCTCTCCCATGGGATAAATATCTAAATCCTATCCTATCCATGAAACCACGGCCTATCCATGAAACCATGGCCTACTTCAAGAAATCACTTACTACTGTAATACAACGAAACAGCGTTGAACAGCCGAATGAATACTGTCACATACATGTCTGTACAGACTGCACTCCACCCTGCAATGCCTTCGTCCAGATATTACAAACAAAACTACCTAGCCGGTAGCCCGGTACCGTACCGGTACCACCTTGTCCAAGACGGGTACCCACCGTTGTAGCGGATACATAAGGATAGTTACTGTGTATTTTTATATTTTTACCTCATATTGTTAATAGTGCATGTTATTTGCCTGAAACAAGGTCGTTGCTCTAATTAAGGGTCGGCCAACCTTTTTGGCCGACGGGCCACATTTAGTTTACTAATAATTGCGCGGGCCACTTAACATGGTAATTATGTTCTAGTTTTGCTACACTGACCAAAAGTTAATGAAAAAACAAACAAAACCCTCGCACCAAACTTTCTCAATAATAAGAACCAGTGGCGGCGCGTGGTCATTTTGACAACCGGGGCAAGCTACTGCGGGACCAAGTCACCCTCATCTACGGGGACAGGATGAGCGCTGTAAGTTCTCCCATCATTTTATGAGTATAAAAACCGGCGGCGGAAGAAATAGGCGTCGTCAAAATGATGTCCAGAAATTTTGCAGACGCCGCAAAGGTAGTTACTAGAGTGTTATCTATGAGGAACCCATAGAGCGCGCAAGTTGATGTGATGTTCAAAAAAGTTTGATTGGTGTATATACATCGCAATTCATTTTCCAATATACCCACGTTTATCATGGGGTAAAATTTGGAGACAGTAGCCAACAAATGGATGGGAAATTGACGTGCAAATTTTGAAAAATTTTTGGGGTTCAGTGCGCAGACGATCGCCTATTTGATTCACCCGAATGTCACAGCATTCCTTTGCAGACAAAATCAAACGCTGCGTTGTTTGCCCACGGCGTAAAGAAGCACTCCATGTGTCGTCGTATTTTATTGTTTCCCGGATACGAGATACAGCATCGCAGAAGTCTGAAATACACGACTGCACAGACGCTCCATCCATTAGCCTTGACTGCAATGCGCCGTATAATACATCCACGTGATAGAATATTGTGCAGAAAAAAGCGAGAAAAAATGAAAACTCACCATCTTCTAGCAGACGCTTTAGACCTGCCGCCTCCCTCACAGAGCGTTCGTCCCAAACCGAAGAGCTCTGAATGCCATTGAAACACTCAATGAGCTCAGACCTAATTTCGGACACGCCCTGCACCACGCGTGATTGGAAGTTCCAACGTGTTGGTGCACAAGCTGGGAGACGGCGGCTACATATCTGGCGAAGGAGGTCAGAGCGCTTCGGCGAAACGGAAAAAAATGAAGAAAACCCCGAAACATTTGCAAAAAATATACGGACGAGAGGGGTATCAAGACACATATTTTTAATAACGAGGTTAAATTGGTGTGCATAACAATGTAAAAAATGCGCATGAGGAAAATCTTCTTTTATATAAACTTGAACACCATGTTTCGACCCACTCATGACTGCCGCGCCGTCATAAGTTTGAGCTATCAATTTTGACTTCGCGTTGTAAGGCTGTAACACTTCTTTCAGTACAGCCGATATCCCGCAAGCCGTGCGATCAACGATTGGTACAAAGCTGTGGAATCTCTCGGTAGGTTTACCATCTTTCACAAACCGAAAAATCACAGCCAGTTGGGAAACGCACGTGATGTCAGTTGTCTCGTCAGACTGAATCGAAAGGAACTGGCAATTCTCAATTTCCAGAGCCAAATGTTGTAAATAAATTTTATACATTGATTCGAGCAAATCATTTTGGATATCCTTAGATGTCCCTTTCGAAACAGTTGCGGCATCAAGATGATCTCTCAATACTGTATCCAGGGATGCGGTGTATTCCACCATATCCAAAATACCCCTCTATTAGAAGAGCCAGCCCGTTCATCGTACCCACGGAGGGACAGCTCGTGACAACCAATGAACTTCAAAACATCTATCAATCGACCGAGAACATGGCGGTTTTTCTCGACGTTTTGGTTGTGCCGACGAATAGAAACCGCGCGACCTTCATCCAACTGTGCTGCAATATTAACATTTCCGAATGTTCGGTATTTTACTGCATTGTCCAGATGCTCCATAGAAGATTGATGATCCCTGGCACGCTCGGAAAGATGTTTAAGATCTCTAAAACCAAATTTACACCAACGTGAGTCACGGGCGGTAGCAAAAAGTAGGCAATAAAAACAAAAAAGTGCATTTTTGTCCTCGCTGTAACACAACCATTCGTGTTTTTTATACCAAGTTTCTGCGCAGAATGTACGCCGACGCTTTCCTCCGTCATGGGATTGTTCCAGTGAACAATTTTTTGGTTGATAAGGCCCAAGACGTTGTACCTCTAATTTTTGTTCCAGCGGCAGCTGCGAAAACGGAGTGCGAAGTAGTGCATCAACCTTATTCATTATGAGGTCTAAGGCTAAGAAATGCGAAGCCGGAAAGAAGTGAGGAGCTCAAAAGGAATGTGGAAAATCGAAAGCAAATGGACTAAAGGTCTCTAACTGATTCAAATAGCGAAACAAGCGACAAAAACGAAGGCGAGGAAACTATCAACTCTTCATCAACCAACGAACGAGAAGGAATGCGTGAATATGTCAACACGTTGTTGTAAGAAACGTCGGCATTGTGTCGTCATAATTTCGGGGCTAGCCCCGATCGGCCCGATGATTTAGTAAAAGAAACAGAAAACAAACGAGACAAACGCGGCGAGTGGAAGATAAAAGAGAGAATACGATATACAATGAGCAACCGGGGCAAAATCGGCGTCGCCCCGTCGACGTTCGGCGAAGGCTTTGCGAGCGAAAAATGAACCATGTCGGGAGAATATGGCTAGTGTAGACAGTCTGTGCAACCGATATTGAGGTATTTTTCGAATATTTTTTATTATACCGAAAAAACAACGGGGGCATTGCCCCGGTTGGCCCTATTGACGCGCCGCCACTGATAAGAACGATAAAAAAACGAAGATACAGTAAAGTCAACAAAGTTTTTTCTACACGTAGGTATTTTAGTGTGAAGTTTGGCACTGTTTTTCGCTAACAAGTTTGTCAATATTCGCTGAAAAGGACGATGTAGCAATGCGAAGCGAATTTTCCATATGACTGTCAGAAATTAGTGATCTCACAGATGATTTGACATGGTTCATCTGTGAAAAAACTTGCTTGTACGAGTACGTGCTGCAAATTATGAGGTCATTAAAACTGCCAAGTGTGTAAGCAGAGACAATGCATAACAACAAAATCTATGGTGTAAGCTACTATTTATGTATCGATATCTCATATCTTCCAGTTTGTGATGGAACTGATGGCTCGTTTGAAAGGTCTAGCCAATGAGCATATATACAATGAGTGGAAACTTATTATAAGTATTTGCTCATTAATCCATTGTGCCATGCATTTTTACGTCGTCCAGCTAAATTGTTCGTTGCATATGGAGAAAGCCTATCGCTCGCTGCAAAAATCCCTTGCTTCGGCCGCGCTGGGTGCGGAATTGGCCGTACTGAGGCTTTTAATTTTTCGATTCGTGTTCGGTTTTGGGTTTCGAAGTTTGGTACGTTGAAAGCATACTGACTATGAGCAATTGCTTATTGGGAATGCATATCTATCAGGCAGAAAACGTAGCTAGCACAGAATATGAAGTCAAGTGCGGTTATTTCTGATTATAGCATGGGATTTAGGTACATATTTATCCAAGGAAAAGGAAAGGCGATAAGAAGGTCTAAATATATGACAAACCACGGCTTCTCGCAATCATATTTTATAAGGTGCTCCATACGAACCACCAGGGCTCCCCGATTTTAAATTACTTTGGCAGTCTGGGATATCTTGACATTAAAAACGGAGACATAAATTGGAAGAATAGCAGGGAACCGGCTTTCCTCTCCACCTTGGTAAATATGTTAAACTCATCCTATATCGATGAATACAATGCCCCACGCCCCCCTTTACATAGGTTGTAACCCCCCCCCCCCCCCCATTTGAGAAAGATTTTTCATGCGAAACTTCTTCCACAAAAAAGCAGCACCGTCGTTTTGGGGTCGCGCATAAGGGTTTCGTCAAAACGATATTATTCTGTGTATTATCACCGTAGCGCAATTAACACCGCCAGACTTTTCATTTATCCGCTGATAATGATAAATAAGAATGCGTGATTGTTGATTGTTATTCAGTAACGCTTATGTAACCGCCGTTATGGGCGTTCAAAATGAAAAAGGGTTATAAGCTAATTTAAGGACATTCTCTTCCCGGTTCTCTTTTATTTTAATACAAAGCAGGGCGCATTGAAAAGTAAAATTTATTAACATAAATTTACAACGAGTAAAATTTACCTACGGCTATTGCCAACAGGCAGAAACGATGAATGTAAGAATTTTTTGTTTTGTTTCATTTTTGTGCCATCATATTTTTCAATTTCTAATTTTGCGTAAATCGCGTCAACATCGTTTTTGTACATTTAGAAACGTTGAATCAGATAAGCAAGGCATGTGAATAATGTACTCTATGCAAATTTCCCGAGATATTGTGGAGAAATATTATTTTGACCACGTAGAAATGCCATTATTGCTGATTTATTCACGTGTTAAGTATCAGTGTTTTAAACCAAAGCTGAGTTACGTGAATACTCAACACTGAGTATTCAAGAGATTACCAATTTGCGGATTTTTTTTTATTATTATTTAATACGAAAGTACCACGGAAACAATTTAAAATTAAAACATAAAAATGTCAACTATCAGCTTCACAAATATCGCATCCCGGGGCCAGTAATGATAATATTGTTCGCTTAGAATTGGGACCGTTACTGTGATACAAATCTTACACAGCAGATAAAAATCAGAATAAAATTAATTTTTGTCGTGAATACATTCCTTAATAGTTCTCTTTAACATCTTCGCCGATGTTCGTTAAAATATTCGAATAATTTTATAAAAAAATACGATTTTGCCCACCACCAATCACGGCGCATGTAAATAATCATTGAATGACAATAAAAAATCAACTTTATTAGCATTATATTCCAAGTAAAAGTTTCGCATTTCATGCATTCGATCGGCGCTACACGCGAGCGTGTTTTTGTATATATTCACCAAACGCCGTCAAGAAAACAGAGGCGAGCTACAAGTAACTGTGGAATATCGCTGTGAACGACGCATTGTTTTTAATTTATTACATGCCTCACGCCGTCGTGAATCGAACTTTTGGTGCACTGTTTTAATTTCATCGTAATGCCCCTCCCCCCTCCCCCATTTGAAAAAATCCTGGCTGCGCCCCTTGTCCAAGTTTTATATCTCACTATTGATTACAAAAGTATAATCGCATCCAAATCAACAGTATCTATATATATGAATGACTATATGAAGGATCGTTAAAATTAAATAATATATACGCAAAAATCATAATTGATAACAGAATGTACAAACTTTTTTGTGTAAATTCACAAGACATGAAAATGGCAAATTTTAAATTTCAATAGCAAGATATCCCAGAGTAATTTATAGTTAAAATCAGTATTTTTAATAAGTAAACGAATAGTTAGGGTTACCATATTTTTTTTGACTTCAAAGCGGGACGCCTCCAAAGACACGACCCCTTAGCTGTGATCCTGAAACTTTACAGTTTCTGATTTTACTACATAGGCCTACATTTAAATTTTAAAGTCATCCCGGTTGTCTTCATTGACCATATTGTCATCGAGAGTTCCTGCGCATATTCTCTCTCGAAATCGGGTTTAGTTCGAAAAATAGAAAGAAATGATCAGAATTTAGATTTTTTTTGTACAGCAAAATAAATAAAGAACTAGAGCTGCGTGCAGCTTTAACAGGCTTCCCGCGTAAAAAAAACTGAAGACGCGTTTTGCTCACTGGAGCGTGAAAGCGTGGTCAGTCATGCATAAAATTTGCAATTTATGATGGGGGACTTATTATATGCATGTGATGTAAATTTCAAGTCTCTAAGTAGTGCCGTTCTCGAGAAGAAGATGAAAATGTAAAATCCTATTTTGCTCACTGGAGCGTATCGCCGAGGTCACTCATGCGTATCCTTGACATATCGTATCCGGAACATGTCCATTAATCATTGTTATGAATTTCAACCCAATAGCATGTATCAATTTTGAGAAATCGCAAAAAAACTGAAGAAGCGTTTTGCTCACTGGAGCGTGAAGCGTGGTCAGTCATGCATAAAATTTGCAATTTATGATGGGGGACTTATTATCTGCATGTGATGTAAATTTCAAGTCTTTAAGTAGTGTCGTTCTCGAGAAGAAGATGAAAATGTAAAATCCTATATTGCTCACTGGAGCGTATCGCCGAGGTCACTCATGCGTATCCTTGACATAGGGTATCCGGAACATGTCCATTAATCATTGTTATGAATTTCAACCCAATAGCATGTATCAATTTTGAGAAATCGCAAAAAAACTGAAGACGCGTTTTGCTCACTGGAGCGTGAAAGCGTGGTCAGTCATGCATAAAATTTGCAATTTATGATGGGAGACTCATTATCTGCATGAGATGTAAATTTCAAGTCTCTTAAGTAGCGTCGTTCTCGAGAAGAAGATGAAAATGTAAAATCCTATATTGCTCACTGGAGCGTATCGCCGAGGTCACTCATGCGTATCCTTGACATATCGTATCCGGAACATGTCCATTAATCATTGTTATGATTTTCAACCCAATAGCATGTATCAATTTTGAGAAATCGCAAAAAAACTGAAAACGCGTTTTGCTCACTGGAGCGTGAAAGCGTGGTCAGTCATGCATAAAATTTGCATTTTATTGCTAGCTGAGAACTTCTGCACATTTGAGGTGAATTTCAAGTTTGTAGGACTAATTTGAAAAAAAAATAATAAAAATAAATAATAATAAATAAATAATAATAATAATAAATAAATAATAATAATAATAAAACACAGGAATACAATAGGTTCCCTGCTGACAAGCAGCGGGAAGCCTAATAAAACACAGGAATACATTAGGTTCCCTGCTGACAAGCAGCGGGAAGCCTAATAATGAAATAGTCCGTTTTCAAGCATTCAAGCAATTTCCCTGTTCGCCCAAGCATGCTTTTCTGTAGATAACACTTTCAAAAAGACGTTGCTCAATGTTACATTCACATGAACAAGAATTGATTTTACATGTGATACGTTCGCTAACAATTTTAGCGGGAAACAACGAAACAAACAAAATAACTCATACACCTTCAGTAAGTAGGATAGCGTTGTGCTACACAGCAACAATAGTAACGAAAACATGTTCATGTATTATGCTGGTTGGCTGAACGCAAAAGCGGGACATTCAGCTGACTTGTCGGGACAGCGGGACAAGACGCTAAAAAGCGGGACTGTCCCGCCTAAAGCGGGACGTATGGTAAGCCTACGAATAGCTCACAAAGTCCCGGCAGCCGGGGGGTTCATATGGAGCACAGAGCTATTTGGAGAGGCCGTGGTTTGCCATATATTTAGGCTTTCCTCTCCCCCCTGGATAAATATGTAAGTCCCATAATATATCAATGAATAAATACAGCAATAATCGCACCCCACGTGGCGACTGATTCATATTCTGTTCTGTAGCTACGTTTTCTGCCTAATAGATATGTATTCCCAATATGCATATGCTCCTAGTTAGTATGCTTTCAACGTACCATATTTCGAAACCCAAAACCGAACACGAATCGAAAAATTAAAAGCCTCAATACGGTCAATTTTGCACCCGGCCCAGCTGAAACAAAGGATTTTTGCAGCGAACGATATGCTTTCTTCATATGCAACGAACCATTTAGCTGGACGACGTGAAAATGCAGGTCACAATGGATTAATGAGCAAATATTTGGAAGTTTCCACTCATTGTATATATGCTCATTGGGCTAGCAGAGCGCCTTTCAGGAGAATGAACAAATTGTTTGTATCGAATCTTCATATTAACTACATCACTCGAAAAATAGAAGTTTCACTCATTTTTTTTTTTATTTAATTCCGAAAATACAGCGCGGGCCACTCGAAACTCCTCGGCGGGCCGCGGGTAGGACGATCCTGCTCTAATTCGTTTCCTTTATGATATATTTCCCTCGCTCAATGTTGCTCGTCTTTATCGTTCTTTGCTAGATAGAAATTTGGTTTCATCACATATACTTGCGTTGAAGTTTTTGAGGGTATTTCGTTATCTGTTATTTGGATCAATTCGATTGTGCAACTTGACAATATACAAACACTTGGAATTCAATAAATTGTGTGCTTATCGATCTCTGAAGGAGTCAAGATCGGAGTTACACTCTGTTAAAGTGTGGACACGCAGACAGGGCTAATCAGTTTCTATACCGTAACCAATGCATATGAGCGAGACAGGGAGCAAAAGCAGAAAAGTTCACAGTCATACCAACCAGTCGCGTTTGGCACTGGCATTCATCGGGTGCAGTCGCATTTTTCGTCGGTACAGGATGATTAAAATGATACCAACGAACCAGCACTGGAGAAATATCAACAAGTAAAGACTGAAATATAAAAAGGACATTGCAGCTTTAAGACAACATACTGACATCATAACAGAATCGAAAGATAATAAGTCAGGAATAGAGAGAAGAGTATGGAATTGAAATGCGACTCTCGGCAGTGAGCAGATACTGCAAATGCTACGGTATTACTAGAAATTCTACCACTTTATCACTTTTCAGCAATGCCCAATCTAGCAATCAGTGTAGTTTCTCATGGCTTTGTTTTTCTTAGCTTTTATGGCTTCATGTCTATACTCGTCACTTTATTACAGGGTGTCTCAAAAATGTCGTGGGTAACTTGTTCCTGTTATATCGTTATTATTATTATTAAAGTGCTTTCGTTTTGATGCCAAAAAAATGTTTATACTGAGAAATATTGCATGCGCGGGAGTTTTCGTCAGCGTTTAGTTTTATCAAAAGTCATGGTTTGAATATAGATGCACGCTTTATTCACGTCTAATTTTTGATTTGGCCTTACAATCACAGGAAATGGTTACAAAGACCCGCCATGTGGATCGAAATAGACAATGGAACGTACGAGTAATCGTAGTTGATCTGCTTCCTCTGTATCAAATAAGTTTACGACCTGCTTGATTGGCGTTGGTGAGTATTTTATCATCGTAAACAATACAAATGGACCAAGCCGATGAGATGGGTCGCGCTTTTTATCTAAAATTCGTACCTTAAGCTCGCGTCAAGGAACTCCTCATTTGGAGAGACGTTTTGTGCGTTTAATTTAGTAAAACCACTCCTCTATTTTTAAACGTTGGCCATGTGACAGCAGTGACAAACCGCAGAGCTGACTTAGGGCCACGCGATCCAGTTTTTTTTAGCTGGGTCTAGAGTCCCAACTTAGACGACTTGGTTGTACTTTGACGATAGCACCAGGCCTGCTCACGCTACAAGTAATAAAATTGGTCAAATATAACGATTCAACATACAATGAGTGTAAAAAAGGTGAATTGTGAGGAACGTATTTCATAATCCACAACAACGTTAAACCACAATGTCTGGTGTGTTTTCAAGCAGTATCTGTCATGAAAGAATATAATTTAAAACGACATTACAATACCAAACACGAGAGAAAATACGGAAAATACCACAATATTTTTCTCGGGAAGCAATTTTAAAATACCTAAAGGCTTTATACACCTTTAAAAAAAAACTGAACGGTAAACTGTATAGTGAGTTAATTCGCGATGTTTTGATTACTTATGGGTTATCTCTGATAGCGGCCCGCGAGACATCCTCAAAAAATTTTTGCGGCCCGCCAACCTAGCAACCTTGGACCAACCTGGTTAAATATTACAGAAAACCGGCGGTTACCAATCTTTGACGGCCTCGTTACATGCATAGTGCATACCGCCTCCTGCGTGCATAAGGGTGGCATAGAATGCCATAGATGACCTATTCTCTCATACACATCTCTATCAATATAATCGAATATTTTTGTTATCGACCGATTCGTCCAGATCTGACATTTTCAATAATATTCTTCTATTGTCTCAGTCGAAGGGTATATATCGATATTTAGGCACGCTGACGTAATTCATCAATTTCCAATTTCATAATCTTTCAAGATCACAACAATAATAATATATGGATGACTAACAGTTGAGGTTGCGTGAAACTAACTACCTTTCCTTGCTCTCTATGCCTTTGCGCAGGTGGATCCGTATGCGTATTACGCAAGGATCAGATCAGGTCAGACTTCAGACAAGCATTTTACAACTATAACAAGAAACGCAATTGCATGCCAATTGATCATTGAACGACATTGTTAAATGTCTCTATTTGGAATATCCTTATTAGGTAATAATCAGGCGTCAGTGTAGCTGTAAAACCGTCTTGACCTGAAAACTGCCCAAGATAAGTACAATGTTCATAACAGATTGTATGACTGCGGCTCTGAGTGAGTTATGCAGATGTTCACCAATGAGGCGTGTTCTGTGTTTGTTCTTAGTGAAGTTCATGTCATTAAAAGACTGATTCACAAAGATAGGTTGAACCAAACAAGCTTGCTGCCGCCAAATGTGTTGTTCATACACCACTGTACTTTTCTGTGTCTCAACCACGATAAGTTTCGAGGTGGAGGTCATTTTGTAATGATACAATTTCAAGCTCTATCTGTCCAGCACCAAAATTTAACGTTGCTCAGAAGCCTTCGACACGACAAAAATAATGTATAGCAGGATGTCAAATTATTTTGAAAGCTGCTAATGTTTTGATATAAAAACTAACAAAGGCGTTTGGAGCCAAGCAACATGCTATTCAAATATCCCTTGATATTTCTAAAGCTTTTGATACCGTTGACCACTCTATCTTTTGAAGCATTCTAGTTCGGAATTCTCGTTCTAGTAAGACATTAAAATCCAAATTTTTTTTTTCAAAAACAAGCTAAGTCTCAGTTTTTTTCAAACTAGTTTTCCAATGTATCGAAACCACACTGATATTTATCCATTTTGTATGAAATTAGCCACCTTGTGTCGATAGTTTTGAAGCAAATACATATCAGACGTCAAGAAACTTGTAAACTCCTAGTTGATGGTTGGGTCTCCCCTCACTTGCGCATTGTTGTTGTTGGACAGCTATAATAATATTGTTATTGTTGTCATAGTTCTCTGTTTTGTTTACAACTATAAATATTATTATTTAGGCACCTTACCTCCAAACATCCACATCAGCAATCAGCTCATATATATATACTTATATTTACATTTACTTTTAACCACAGTAATTGTATGACATTCATCTTTTTTCGAAGACCAAAACAGAAACTGTATTCACATAAAAGGAAACACTCTAATCCCTAAACTTGACTGAAACTTGTAGTAACTGTAAAGTTCCCGACTTGGTTTTCCTAACTCTTGGTGCAAATCCAGTATTTCTATCTATTGTAGGTTGAGGTACTTTATGTGTCTCTTCTGGTACATTATTAATTTTTTTTTCCTCCTGATTTTGTACTTCTTTAAGAGTTGTACTGTTCTCTAGCTTATGAGTATTAATCACTGAAGCTTGTGTATAATGGAATGGTTTCAATTCCACTTTCATTTTATCATACTTTTAGTTATTTGCAGCAATTCTTGGTTTCAGGTGTTCACGAGCCCTTCTATTTACAATTTCGAATTCAATAGAACTGCGTAGATTCTTGGCTCTCTAATAGAACTTGGTATATTTGCAATTTTTCCTGACTCACATATTCTTTTTAGTTCATACCATACATATACATCTTCATTTTTCGATAGTGGTTTTCTGTCAATGAAAGTGATTCGATCATGAAAATTATTTTTGTTTCACATGTTTATTTTCATTAATCCCTTGCTGCATTTTGAGATCTACAGTTTTCGATTGTAATGAACGTTCGCTCATAGCCATGTATGTTCTTGGTTTTCTACCAAGTACCATTTCGAGTGGTGATGGTGTTTGATAATCAAGGGGTGTGACTCGACAAATCCATAAGCTTGATTCCAGGGATTTCCCTTCTTTTTTGGCTTTCTTCCACAATGACTTACAACGTTCCAATAGCTCCTTCTGCAATACTATTTGCTTGGGGTGATAAGATGAACTGAAGGTCATTGTACTTGCATTGGCATCACATTTTCCCCAGAACAATTGACTTACATACTGAGATCCCGAATCCTATAGTATTGTGGAACTGAAACCAACCATTCTTAAAGTAGGCTACATTTGTTAATTGCTCACTTACTGGCCCAGCTGTCATATCCTGCAGTTTTATAACGACTGGAAATCTCGTAAAAGTAATTCACAATCAATAAATACTTTATGCCTTGGAACTCAAAAAAATCTGGTTGGATCATTGGCATTTGTTCTTGAGCAGAATTATATTTGTTGCACAACTCACAAAATATTAGTTGCATTTTGTTGTAATTTCTGGCCAAAACGCTGATTGCCTTGCCATCAATAAACATGTAAGCTCACCTTGATGTCCACTGCAAAGAGCATGCAAGACTTGTGATCTTAGTTTGCTATTCGATTTCCTTTGACAATGAGTCTATTTTCAAGAATTGAATCGCGTCGAAAGTTCCGAGAGTCCCATGATCAGGCCAACCCTTGTAAATAATTTTCTTCAATTTGTTACAAACCTTGTCTTCATCTGTCGCTTGTCTCCAAATTCATTGGTGATGCTTGCCATGAAGAGTATTTTATATTGCTCAATGCTCACTATTCATTTTTTATTCAATCGCACTCAACAATGCATCAGCAACAGATATTTTGATTCCTTGTTTGTACTTGACTGTGACATCCAATTTTAACCATTTGAGAAATGACTCTTGTAGTCTCACTGGAACATCAACAATATTTTTCTTGCTCTGTTACAACAATTACATGTTATTCATACAGATATTATTCAAATTTCTCCAGACCATAAGCAACTGCTAAACATTCTCTTTCGATGTTATAATATCTGCTTTCAGCATCTGTAACTGCAAACTATATTTTATTCACCGTTGCGATCAACTTAAATACAGGCGGCAAGACCTGTTTAACTTGCATCACATTGCAAAATTGTTGTCGTGGTTGGGTTAGGGTCATAATATGATAAAATTCTTTATCTTCATTTTTCTTCTTCAATCTTCTCAACGGTGTTGATAGTTCTGCAATTTTTATTGAATACTTGTTGAGATATGTTATCATTCCGAGGATGGGGAGCAATTCCTTTACATTATCACTCTCAATTTATCCTCGAATGGTTATATTCCTTCATCTGACAAAGAATGTCTATAAAATTCAACTTTTATTTGTTTGACCTACAATTTATCACTATTGAGTCCAATATTAGATTTTCTGCCTACATCCGGCATTTTTATAAGTGATTTGTCATGTTCTTCCGGTGTTTCACCATATACGATTATATCGTCACCTATACCAATCACATTAGGAATATTCTGAAATATGTCATCCAGCTTCCTCTGGAATATACCCTGGATAGCACACAGGGGCGTGCCAAACTAGTCTGCTGCACGGGGCGAGTTTCTGATAATGTTGCCCCTTATATCTAACTTCTAAAATAATTTGGGTGAAAAACAGGTTATAGATTTCGTCATACACGAGAATAAATCGAATAAAGGTCAAGTAAGAAAGAAACGTTTGTTTTATTAAACCAATCATCAAAAATGTTGCAATTGTAAAATATAGGAACATTTTTTCTGAAGTCAAGGGTCGGGGAAACAACCCTTGTTGAATAACCATCACCACAGAACACATACTGTTAGCTTTTAATTGAATAAAAAACACATCTAGAAGAGCATGTGTAATACCGCAAACTCCACAGCTTGGTTCTGCTGCCCCTCTACAATGTGCTGCCCGGGGCGATTGCCCCTTTCGCCCCCCTCTGGGCACGCCACTGATAACACATTTGCCCGATGTGAGTCGTTCAAATCTATGTTATCTGGTTATATGGTCTATTAAATTCGCATAGTAGACTTGTCTCGTCATCATAGCTCTTCATGGCAAAATCCCTTATAACTGAATGTGGTATTTATCACCAGTAAAACGACAAATCGTTAAAATAATCTTTATATCATCAAGCAATTGACTTTTTGTGAGACTTCCTTTCTCAGCAGCTTCTTGAAAATATCTTTTGTATTACACGGATTCACATTTTTCTGCTTCACGCTTTTAATATCATGAATATTTACTATTATTACACCCAATTATTGTGATTGTCTGCATCCAAGAGATGATGGGCTTTCATTACCTTCAAAAATTAATCATCATTGATATTTCATTGAAGGTAATTTTTATCTTTGCATCTTCAAATGTCCTAATTCTTCTATCGGCATACTCATGCAGCATGCAGCTATTGTTTTTCACGTGGAGTTTCATACCCAAAGAGCAAAAATGACCTTTAGTGATTGTACATATATCTGCTCCTGTATCAATTTGTAGGTTTGCATTGAACTTGTCATTCAACTTGGACATATATTTTTTCTCTTTAATCTTCAGTTGATCCACTCTCATCAATATAATGGCTATCAAATTTGTCTACTACCTAACGAAGCTTATGCATTTCTCTTTGCATTTTGTGGCAAACTCTCAACCCTTCTGCCCGCTGCCCGATTCACCCACAAATCACAATGATTACAATGTGATCCCGCTGCAGGGCAATCATCATACCTGTAGTATCTTTCACGAATTTTTTTATAAATGTATTTGCCTTGGACTTTTTTTCATCATTCATTCTTAGCCTACTGTGTTCTTAAAAACATCGACGTGATGCTGGATTTTCTATATGTTGATTGTCTCTTCATTGCATGCTTGCATTGCACGAGATAGTATCTAGTATTCTGATTCCCGAGTAATAACATTCTCACCGTGTAGGCTTTAGCTTTATCATCAAGTGGCCCGTCGAAGATAAGGTCACACTTTTGTCTGCATATTTTAAACCACCTATGTATAGCATCTGCACTAGCCCTGTCCATCTCTGGAGTTTATTTATCTTCAATTATGCTTTGTCAAAGCAACATAGGCTTTATGTAACGAAGTTTTATATCCAACGTTGATTTTTTAAGTACCTAAAAAATATCCCACTTCCGAAACCATGTCATAGTTCTCCATGTTGCTGCCAACTATAAATATTATTATTGAGGCACCTCACTTTCCAAACATCCACACTAGCAATCAGCTCATATATGAAAGAATAAATATATATATACTCTGAACCACAGCACAGCATCAAATTATCGCAGGGCACGTAAAGTAGGGCAAGCAGGAAAAGTCATTAGAGCGCATCAAATAATACAATATTTGTAACTATTGTATGACACCAGTAACTTCCTATTACTATACTGTAATTCGACGTGCCGTTAAACCATTCTCTGCCTCCTTCAAATTTTCATTAGTTTTGTTTCAATCCTAGTTTGGATCAAAAACACTCGTATCGGGACCTGCATGGCTATGTTTCTTTAAACACACGGTGACCGACAAATTTTGATGGTAATTTTTCTTTTTTATGCCATTGTTCCGTAGTCTTTTCACGGTGTCTCCAAAATGTCCCATGTGTTCCACTTGTACCACGTGTCCAACTTATCCCACGTGTCCCACTTGTGCCACGTGGCCCACTGGTACCACGTGCTCCGTTTGTCCCACTTGACACGTGGTGCAATTCGGACAAGTGGGACAGGTGGTACAAGTGCAACATGTGGAACATGAGGGAGAAATGGGACACGTGGGATGAGTAGGACACGTGGTACGAGTGGGACACGTAGCAAAAGTGGGACAGTGGACAGATCCATTGCTGTGTTGAGAAGATGGATGCTTCATAATTTTATCGGCCAGACCCGCTTCTTAGATTGACAGGTTTCCGGCACCCTATTCTGATATAGTCTTTTCCCCGCTACTTCCGAATTTTAAGAAATTATATTTTATATTATATAAAAAAAAATGGCACTCCGTTGTGTTTCAACTTACTTATGCTATTAACATTATAAGTCAACTTATTATAATTTGGCTTCGTCAACCTAGGCTATTTATTTTAAAAATTTCGGTGGCCTCCATGGAATTCGTTTTATGTTTGCGACGACGTCATCAAAGTTATAAATTGCGGTCCTTATGGCGGTTCCGAAATGGCACTTCGTTGTGTTTCAACAAAATATGCAGTCTGTACGTAAATCAATTAGTCATTGTCACTTGAGATTAATTTTGGCCTGGTTGTTGGTGTGTTGTCGGCGTAATATATTTGAGAAGGATTGGCGGCGATATATTGATGCCAAATCAGGAGATGTCAAATCGGCATAAATTGAAAACCTCGTATGGACCTAATTGAAATAAAATTACTATAAACGTGCAGCAGGTTTCTTTCGTACTCGGAAGGAACACAGGCTTGAGAGAGATTACAGTTTAATCAATAGAAATATGAAGGAAAAATTGCGCGACAAAACACGAAAAAAATTTCTTCTCGACTCTTTCTGAATTTAAGTTTGATAATAATAAAAAGTGGTATGAAAAATATACCATATATATAATAACTTACAAATCAAGAAGGAATAAATCCCGTTTTCGCTGTTGAGATATAACACTTACTCGCTCGTCCTATACTATTTTGTAGAAAGTACTGTTCGAAAGGGTATATCTGGTTCTATTCGGTCGTAAAATATACCAGTCAGTCTGCCTATCGTATGTTTTATTAAAAGTCAATAGAAAACAACTCATAAAATACTGATATCGTGCTTCTTCGGGTAGAATATTGGGTTCTCACGTGTTTTATAAACATTTCAATGTCCCAACTCCCAAGTTTATTATCTTTGTCACTGACGTGTATTTTATGTTGACTTTTCTCTTGGCTGACAAAGTGCTTGGAAGTATGGTGTTCCATTCAAGTCTTGGGCGCGCAGCACTTTTTTCTAATCACTTTTATTTCAATGCATATTGGTTCACGTTATTCCGTCACCTGTAAAATACCGCAAGCATTTTTGTTTATTCAATGCATCACATAGGCTAGTATAACTTTTTTATGTGAGGAATAAACTGGATCAAGAAATTATTCAACTAGCTTATTAATTAAGCAAAAATATCGTCCAAAGTAGCGCCAATCACTTGGAGCCAATAAGTTCTTGCAGCATTCCCCGCATCCTACGTTTAGAAACTAACTTTATATATTTATTTATTTATTGGCTTTGTTGCTTTGCCATCATTTGACTGAATAGTAAAGATAAACGATATAAATATTGAAAGTTGGTTGAAAAATTCACTGTGACTATTTATAAATCCTCCATAGGTGCCTATCAAGCGTCAGAAGGTCGGAAAAATACGCTCTTGTGTTTTTTTTACTTTTTTTGGAACTTTCCAAACAAATTTTTTAGTAATATTCTCGATTTGATGCTTTTCCACTATTGAAAAATCGAAAATGAGCTCTGGGTTGATTAGTAGATTCTGTAGAAGCTTTGGTACTCCCGAAGTATGTGAACCAAGATGGCGAACACCGGAACGTAGTGTGCTTACCAGGTTAGGGTTAGGCTATAATTTCTGGTGCAAATACTACGGCTAGTCCCCGAACTCGTAATAGAACTAAAATAAGAAAAATTGGAATAAAATTATGGCCTAACCCTAACCTGGTACACATACTATGTTCCGGTGCCCGCCATCTTGGTTCACATACTTCGGGAGTATCGAAGCTTTACCCCAAAATGTTATCAGTGAAGTCAACAGACGTTGAATCTCACTACATGTATTTTGTATTATTTTTGGCTTTTTCTAAATAATGCGCTTCGGTAACTTAATATGCGTTTTGAATGAATTGAAGACTTGTTAGGTTTTTAATTTATTTATGAATGTTGTGACGCGTGATTAAAATATATTGTTAGAATAGCTCAATAATTTACGTTTAAAATTAATTTCACTCTTCATATAATTTTTCTGTTCACTGTTATAAATTATTTAATGAATTTCAGCTTTAAAGAATCGTGATATTCTCTAGCAAATTGTACGTATATCTGAACGACGCGATTGCTTTTATCATCCCACGTTAACCAAATTTTTATCATATGCTTTTTATCCTGTTCAATCATATCAACTTATTTGATGGAATAATAGCGCGTGCAAATGATAAGTGACATAACTTGTTGTGACATCTCTGTTGCAAAGCAAAGTTATATATAACTCTTAGTGCGTCAGTGTTCACTTGAAACTTTTTTCTTCAATATTCCTAATACTTTTAGGTCGAGCCGGAAATCATATTGACCAAACGTCTATAAATGCTGCCCGCGGCAACAAAGAAAGCATAATTATTGCCGAAATTTGCAACTGGATATATGCTGAACACTGAAACTGCAAATAATAAACGAAGAAGAATTGGGCATACTACAGGTGGAGTCACTCTCGCCAAAGGTGACGTGGTGCCCAAGATCTAATTTGTGATTTTACCAAAAATGACGTCAAAGTGTTTTTTCCAAAAATGACGTCGAAGAGTTTTATGTTTTGATAGCAATACACAATCACGCAAACGGAGCTTTTCGGTTTTATCAACACGAAAGATGATCTAATTAGATTGCATTGAGGGTTGATTATGTGCCATAAATGGAACTTGGCAATATGCTCTACTGAGCCCAGTATTGTCAGATAAAAATACAACGTCAAGGCAGGTTGCAAATGAGTAAAAAACAGTATCCAAATCTAGATTTTCTGTCAACTCTATGTAAAGTTTTTTCTAATTCGCCAAAGCAACGCGACTTTGATTCCAGAGAGAATGTTGAAATATTCATATGCGGTGTGTCCCCAAAAGCGTAATGCTCCTTTGGGACATGACGAAGGATGTTTATCACAATTACATAAGCGTGAGCGATGTTCTATGTAGATTTTGAATATTAGAGTTTTTTCTAAACAGTAAGATCTCGCTTCAACTACAGCACGTTATTAATACCATGCCCACCGAAATGCGTCTGATCTGATGGCAGATCGCCAAGCACCTGGGGCCTTCAAATAATTGAGTATATGGGAAACGGATCGAGTAACTAATATATATTCCTAAAAAAATATTGGGGTTAAAACTTTTGAAAAACATGCAGCGTTCTGTATTTTCTGGTTTAGCCATTCCTCATATAAACCTCATATATATATTATATTAACTATTTGAAATCTGAGATTACTTTAACGAATAATTTTTAAAGAGTTATAACTGACATAACTATTGGTATGAATATATGATGAATTAATTCACTAGCAATACAAGTTTTTCGTTTAATTTCGGAAAAGTAGGAAACTGTACACGCTTTTGATTTGCCACATTAATAAATTACCACGAATAGACGCTTTAGATTCGTAAAATTTTGAACGATTGATTTTTTAGTTTTACGTGCTGTGCATTTGTGAGGTTTGCATCGAACTTTGATGAGCATGATCTGAGTTGTTTTTCCAGTTGCTTTTGAAAACCTTTTTGACTCATAGTATAAAGATTTATCACTCTCCAACGCTGAATTTGACATTTGTGTATCCGGCTGACATATTGCGAAAATGTGGATGACACAATCAGAAAAAATGTCAATCCTATTCTACATCGTAATCCAACTCTTGAATTTTGCCAATTGGCTTCTTTACAGCGTCAATTCATCAATTTACTCAAATTTTTATACAGAATCATAATGACACTTCTATCGTGTACCTTATAAATAACCATGAACTCATATGACATTATTTAAAAAATCTTTATTTAATAGTATTTTATAGTTGTTTATTATTTTTTTCGCATCTTCGCCAACAAAGGCTCTGAGAAGAACCGAAATATTTCCTAGATTTACTTTAAACATTCAATGTTATCAAAAGCCATATCATTCCAAATGGCTGTAATAGCAATATTTATGTAAGAAATATATCCGCTTCTCCATCCACAACTTGCCACCTATTGTTCCAGATATTCATTGCATAACGTAATTATTATAACTGCGAATTTGAGGAAAATACTTCAACCCTTGACCAGGCAAAAATTATCGGTTAACCACTGTTGATATTGATGGCACAGCTTGAATCAGCTTCTTTTTCAAAGTAAAATAACAAAAAAATTTGAATTGTTTCGTGATGGTTCTGATAAATTTTGAAACAACTTGCACAAACTTTCAGCGAAAGAGATACAAACAACTTTGAATATTTAGAAGTATGTTGATTACACCAAGCCATTACATGGGAAGCCATTTTTCGGTGTGTTTGACGACAATACTTTCCGAAAAATGGGTTTGCTCATATCATTTTAACAAAATTTACATTTGTTGAATACCATTCATTGGCCATGCTTCAAATTTCTGTCATACAACTATGATTGAATCATGAGATTGGTAACTGCCTGTGATCTTTGTTTTTCCAAATTTTATTACAAACATAAAGATATTTATTTGTGTATTGTGTAATCAAGTAAGGTTATGTATTAGAGATCACAAGAAAAAGATGTGTGCGATTTTATCAGGGGATGTACGTTGGAAAATGGAGTATTTCCTTGGATGGCAGTTAACGGTCAAAATAATTTTAATCGTTAACCACCTAAAACGGTTAACTAGTTACCTGTTCCTAGCCACTATCGTTATTATTTCATCAAATTCATGTTGTAGGCAGATACCATATAAATTTGTATATTTGGTTTACTATAACCTGAAAATGATCATATAAAATCAAGCGTTTTATGAAAACATCTCAATTTGTTCCTACAAAGAAAAATGGCATCTAGCGATTTAGAAAGTGGAATATTTACTGAGTAATGGCCAATTTCAATTAAGGGCAGATTTTAATATTTCAACAGTGAGAAGATTAGGAATAGAAAACACATAATTAGTTTCATTTTAATTCGCGGTGTAAGTCACGACAACGACGGATTAAGGTCGAGTTGGGTCACTGGCGTACTTTTCAAATATACTCTGTCTAAAATCTCTAATGCACGTCTTCAAAAGCGTGAATGAGAAACTCAAATCGCGAAGTTTTGGATGAAAACGTGTAAAAATTAAAATGCGCGTTTTGTGAGTTTTCATTTTATTATTTGTGTAGTTTATAACAGTGGAGAAATTTTGTTGTTTTGAGGCAATAAATATTACTTTGTATCTGGTTTAGTTTCACTAATTTTATATAATTTATTTATTTAGTATTGTTGGTATACATATTTTAACACATTATAAACTATTCAAACTATGCAAAAGCACACACAGTTCTTATGCATAATAAGGTATGGTTAAGGATTTAAAATTGGGCAAAGAGGAGAATTTATCGAAAATAAAAAGTTGGGAACCACTGCTTTATAGTATCGTTCATAATCATTCGCAAATCTGTGAAATCACGGCTCCCTGAAATGGCATGAACTTTGAAGTCGGTGTCGTTTTTTTCATAACAAGTCGAGTTGGATAGAAAATTGAACTTACCGTAATTTCATCCCACATCATTATCAACGTCTTATTTGTTTATTGAAAAGTTTTGTCTATAATTTGCCATTTATATGTTTATTTTATACCCTCACCTTTGTCGTTTTTACTTGATCATCAGTCCTACATTCCCAACCGGTAACTTCAGCTTTCGTATCGTAGACTTCTCTACAATCTTCGCCGGGAAGGCATGGATTCATCAAACACCATTTTCTGCTTTGAACTATAGAGGCTGAACAGTAAAATCATTTTCGATTCAATTATTTCAATATTATAATAGTAAACAAAACATCATTGGGGAATTGAAAAGGGCTTTAGCATGACCTGTCGTAATGTTTGCTCCTTTTTTTTAAATAAATTTTACATAGTTCCATGTGTGCGAAATTGGTCGAACTCAAAATACTCATTGAACTCTACAGGCAGTTTGGCCGACTAAATTTAGGCCAAGTAATCTTCACCTAAACCGATTAGAGAAGTAGTATCAGACACAAAACGGATTGTACGTGTAATAATTGCGTGCGAAAAGAATATAAGATATAAAAAAAAACAAATGAATAATATTTTTTCTAGAAAATGATATTCTGGTATGTTCACCACGATCTAAACTAAATGGTCAATTTTCTAGTAAGATTAAATTTTTGAATACTGTATCGCTTCATGACAGGAATATATGTGAATAAAACAGGTTTTAGCAAATAAAATCACTGTTGTAGAATAGTGATAAATGATTGTAAATTTCTGTGGTAAACACACATTTCTCAGATATGTGTTGATTCTTGGTTGCACCTGTATGTAATGGCATGCCCAAGTCAACTAAACAGAAAAATTGTTTCCTGCCCGGCACCATTTTAATAATTAATACGTGAAGTGCGCGGGAATGGGTGCCAACATTTCAAAGAGACGTTCGTTCTAAATTATTTACCGACTTTCATCACAAAACTAATTTCAAATCAAGTTGATCTTGATCATCTATGGGCTATAAATACTTTATTTAGACCATAGCATTGACATGGACCATGATTGACCAAAGAAAAAAATTTGATACTGAATTTTCAGAACATTTTGAGTAAGAATATTTTAAATATATTCATTAATCTAAGTTTATCATTTTATTACTCCAACGTAGAATTTCATTATCATAATCTGAGACCCAATCTCAATTTGTTTTGAATATTATTACTCAAAACAAAAACTACAATATATTTGCTACAGCATCCTTGCAATATATGCATACGGATCCACCGGCACAAAAGCATAGAAAAAGGATAAGTAGTTAGTCTCGCAGAAACCAAATAATCAGCGCAAGGAAGGATATTTGCAACATATTTCATTATTTTATTCTATCGCTGATTAGAAACAAAACTGTAGAGGAAGAAAGAATTCTTTTGTTTTGGAAATCGATTTTGGGGTTTATACTCCATATATCACAGTTCGGGGACGATAACCCTAATGGACGAAACTTGAAAAAAACTTATTCGAGAAAATGAAAAAAAACATATATTTTTGACTTTTAAACATTTTTTATTGAAATACTTATCGATTTGAACTTTGATTAGAAAAACAGTGCCAAAGCAGTTTTTTCTTGTGTACTATTAATAGTTTCCGAAATTGTTGAAACAAATATTCTATAAAAAAAATTTTCTTTGTATGTTCATTCCTATATTATATTAGCGGACAAAAATTACAGTATTCTTTCGAATATATATTATGTTCCTTTATATCTCCAAGTAATTGATTATAATGCTTGAAATAAGAGGAATGACATGAACATATGTTTATATGCTTAAATTCTTTCATGAAATTATCAGTATGTATTATTACACTTACATTATTGGATTAAAAATTACTTCAGTGATATTTTACAAGATGTCTTTTTTCACAGACATGTCCTAAATGCGTGGTTTGCAGCAAAACAATTTAGCTGTCACATATTGACTTGCGTGTAGACTGTAGACTGCTCCCGTTTTGGATATATAATATTCATATTGTTTACTTTTATTGGTTAGCGACGCTATGACATTTCATAAACAAAGCTGACAGAACGTTTTGGAATTCGGTGTTTTGTATATTTATTGTGATCACAAAACCAGCTTGAATTCGAATTTAATGGCTTTCACTAAAAAATTACTTTTCCTAACGCACTGAAATTGTATTGATGTTATTGTATGCCCATAGTTTTATTTGAATTTGGAATTTTAATTTACACTTTGAATAATAGCAATAGTTTATTCGCTGTAAATATGTCTGGCATAAAAAAGTAAATCAGTTTGAATAATTTAAATCGTAATTATAATTGGAATTCTGCCTATGTATTTTCAATTCAAAAATTGATTTATGTCCATAATACATCTTAAATTAAATATTGAAAATTTTGTAAATTATTTTGAGTTTTCCAAAAGTATAAATATGCACTTAACCCCTTGGAACAAAATTTATTTGATTCAGTGACTTGTAAATGCACTGCATTACATTAATTTTTCATGTTCATGTAATAAAATATAATTTGATTTTTCTAGAAAAAGAGCTATAACGAATCGATGCAAATATAATTTAATTACTTTTATTGCCAAAATATATATTCATCATATACAACTATAATATTTGGTTAAGCCCCATAGCGGTAATGCCATGACCCACTTTGGCTCTGTAGTATTGACATATTTTTGACGATGGTATATATGAACCGAGCTTGGTCAACTATGCCAGCTATGTCAGTGCTACTCGATTTTTGAAAAAGCCAATTCATGATCGAAATTCCACTTGTTTTTGATGGGAACTGAGGATGATCAAAATCATAGACTCGTTATAAACTCAACTCTAACTCGACTCAACTCGCTTTTTAACTCGAACATATGCAACATATTACGCCAAAGTGAGTTTTTCATATTTGGAATGATGTTTACCGATCCGACAAAGAATTTTGACAGCATCTATTTCCTTCGTCGATCGTTGGCTTCATTTATTTGAGTAAGCCTAGATAAGGTGAATGGAGTTCACACGTATGAAAGTGTTTTGATTGAATTAATAAAATCGCTTGCTGTAAACATTTCTTGATTTTGCTAAAGAACAATTTTAAATTCAAATAAATATTATCCCAAAGATGAGATTACAATTTGAACTAATATCTATGAAACTATTGATACCAAGTGAAGCGTGTATTATTTTCTACCAATTCAAATTTTGCAATAATTTTGCAATGACATATCGCGCGTCAAATCCAATCTATTTCCTTTCACCGAAAATAAAATCTTATTTTTATGGCGCATCGATCATATTAGTTTGAAAAAATATGCATAATCAATTTCGAGTACGCCATGGTGGGTGCAAGGATGGCACATTGAATTATACGTAACGTAAATATCCCACGATCTATTGCTACTGGATGAAAACCTTGCAAGAAATTGTCTCGTTGCGTTCAATTTTACTTTGCGTAAATCGCATTTTTAATGATTCTTTTTGTCTGACTGTGTCAATGTTTGGAATACAGCCATTTAAAACAAAGTAGGATCGAACGTAACACAAGTTGGATACAATATGCCAGGTAACGAAGTTAAGTCAGTTGAAATGCAAGCGAAATAATTGATTTCTCAATGGCATTTCCAAGGAATGTCACAGTGGTCTTGAACCACACTTTCCCAAGAGGAAAAGAAAAAATTAAATCTACTTGACAGTTTGTCCCATCAATGCAATCTAGACGTCTGATAAATTGCAGCAAATATCAGAATTTCAATTATTGACTCATTGCATAATAAGCTGTATACACGCATGTGGATGGAAGAGATAAATAAATAATCTAATTTTATTTGGGGTAATAATTACTACTACTGACCAATAACATAATCTCATAAACTTTATTAAGTTGTATTTTTTACTAATCCAAAACTGTTTCGACGTGTCTTTATGAAACATTAATTGTGAATGCTTCCAGCTTTTTGAATGCCAGACCCATTTTGTAATATTGTTTGTTATATTGATTGTAAATAAAATTGTCTTTTTTTTCATGCGCCTAGTTTTGGCTCCTACGCCGTATACTCGTGGTACTCAGAGTGAAAACTATTTGTTTGGAAGAGGTGGAATTTTCAGCCCTAATTATGCAAATGGTTTGGATTTTCAGTAATATGTTTATCGTTTTTAGACTCTATTTTCGGAACATAAATCAAAAATTTTGTTCTTAATCAGTTCCAAAAAAGCTACCTCGAATAGTCTAAAACCCTAAAATTTTGTGATGACGTAACGTCTTCATGAATGAACTGTTTCATCCAAAAGTTTGTTAACGCTATCGACTTAGGAGTAATTACATGTTGCAACCATCGATTGTTTAAATTGAAAAACACTGGCTTTCTAAAGCAGAACGGAAAATTTTAAAAATAGTTAAAAAAATTCATTGATTTATTCTGGAATTTGTGATTTTAAAATATTGATCGACATCGAACATATTCTTTATCACAGAATAAATGTTATAAATCAACTTATATTTTTTTTATCGAGGCGTTTTATTACAATTGTTTGAGCAAGTGACTCTATCATGACTTCGCATTCTATCTATTTTCAATCGGTAACCTTATATAATAATATATGTAAAAATTTGCAAATAAAAATTAATTTTTGGATTTTTTTTACTTCAGACGGTTTTACCAAATCTAATGTTCCGTTCTAATGCGATTACAGACAAATGGTGGAAGTAACATAAAAGATAGGGCGAGCGACCTCTTATCTGGGGGCGAGTTATTGATTTGCTATGTTGGCTGTTTGGTGCGATGTTTCAAATTTAAACCTATTTGCTTCATTCATCATGGCAAGCCAAGGCCATGGGTACAATACCGATACTAAGTCGACTTATGTATGTTCTATGTATGGCATATCAAACAAAAACTAATGATCATTCACCTACAAATACAAATTGAAGTTGACAGATCCGCTTACGACGAGAAGGAAGTTTCGCGATATCCTATTAATGTCAATTTTAATACAAATATTCAATTAAATTTTTCGTTGAAAATAACATCTGTGTCGTCGCGCAGATGCTGGATTAATTTAATTAGTAGAACATCACGGATTGTACATATAAAAAGTAACTAAAACAAAAAATAAACAACGGGAAGTGAAAAATACTCAGAGAATAATAAAATTATCAGAAATCACCCAAATGATCAAACTTATCAAATATTTATCAAGGTTGAGTTCCCTTTAACACAAGAACATATAAACTGATACAGGGAATGGATGCAATTTGAATTCGCATGGTTAAAGAGGCAGCTTATTAATAGAAAATCCGTTCAACAAATGAGCAGATATTCTGACCCTGAACTGCTGACCCTCGGTCATGACAACATTTTCGCTTTAAGATTAATATAGAATTAAAAATATTAAAATAATTACTACAATTTAATAACCATTTAATGAGCAAAAGAGAGTAACCAGTAATTTTTGGGTTTATTCGTTAACTTATATGATTACCGTAATAACCGATCTTGTGAGTTTTCCCAATGTCATTATACTTAATAATAATTTTTTGATGTTTATAAAATGTAACTTTCTACGTCACACTTACATGGCCCGCTAGTCTAGGTGTGCAAAATGTTCGGCCCCTGGTTCGAAAACTTTGCCCACTCCTGTTCTATAGCCTCGAGTTTTGCACTATGTGACAATTTGTCAAAGGCATGTTATTAACGGTATAATTACAACTTCAAATACTTAGATTTAGGTGAGATCCTGTTAATTCCTACCTGTTCGCCTTTCGTTGATACCTATGTTGGTCAGGCTTATACTGTTTATGCAAAACAACGCAATGCCACAGTAAACTGTTTTACAACTATGATAATAAAATATACCAAACCCAAACGTTGAACTGAATTCTTGAATATATGCTATTTTTAAATGATTTTAAATTCATATATGTAACCGAATCCACCTTTAACACAAGATGGGGACGCCCTCGTTGTTCCCGCTACATATCCATCAGAACAAACACATTGCACTCGTTGTATCTTTTTCATAACTTTTTCATGTGTACAACATTTATTACTGATAACGATTTTGCATCCTCCTCCCGGTTGTGAGGTATTATCGCTTGTGCCTGTAGTAATATAACAAGATTTAATTATAGGCGCTTATCAAAAAAATGCATAGAAAATAGAAATGAAACATATGTACTATTTGGTATCGGTCATTCCCTAAATTGTCTTATTTTGCTTTGTCATACAATGAATCTATTTTTTTCACTATTCTGAAGAAAGGTGTATGAGGTATTTTTAAGGTAATAGAGTGGTATTTTCTTCGGGTGGATTTGTTTAAATGTTACTGGCCTTATGTATTCTCTCTTCGATCTGAATAATATTATCATTTTTTGTCATGTTGTACGAGGCTACGTGATTGTTTGTTACACAGAATGAGGTACTATTTTCGTTTAAAGTTGTAATTTCATTTGCACTATCTGTGTTGGCGACAGCGACAATGTAAGTTTGATATTTTTGTCTAGGAATTTATAATTGTCCAACCCCATTTATTCATGTAACAATAGAATAATTTTATCAAAATTTACTCACCTAAACTCATATCATACTGTGATCTGGTAGTTGTTGAAAATATTGTGAGAATCAGGCAAAGTTTAACTGGTAACATATTATATCTTTTCATTGTGACTACTTTAGTTAGGAATACTTAACTTATGAACAATGCTGAAAATAAAGCACAAAAGATAACATTGATGTTCATGAAGTGTTTCATTCAGACCCTAGTTATGCAGCGATGGCTGCATGCCCGGCTGGACAGTGATTTGAATCAGAGGCATCTTAGGTGTGACGCCAATATAGTATTATACATATTTCCTTAGCCATCATGCTAAATTAATTTACTGAATTAAATTGAAACAAAAAATCTATTATTTAGCCACAATGGTTGTTCAGTGGTTTGACATTTGTATCCACCCTCTGTTGTGTTTGAAGCAGTGGCGCTCAACCTTTTTCAGTTTGCGGACCGGTAAATTTGAAAACAAATTATGCGGACCGGCGGACCTTCAAAATTTACTAAAAAGGTCATGAACACAGAACATAATTAAGAGAATGCAATTAGGACAAAAGTAGGCGGTGTAAAAGAAGACGATTCAATTTAATGAGAAATTTGCTGCTGTTTTTTTGATATATATTATACGTGTTAAACGTGGTTCTAATGGAGTTTCTGCAAGGCGACGTAGAGCGTTGACTTCAACACAATTTCTCTGTTTGGTCTCGATGAGAGTTAACGTTGAAAAGCTTTTCCCACAGAGATAAGTTGTACAAAAAAACAGCAGTGATTTAATTGTTCTGTAACTTAGCTCCAAAACTGTAACAATGGCAACTCTTCATGCTTGGGCATCAACAAGGGTATCGCACGAAAGCTATATCATTGATTCTTTCCCGACAATGTTAAGATTGCACAAATTAATATCCTTTGCATAAGGATTAAGAATTCAAAAGTTTCCCTGACGAGAATCTGCATTTTCTGGAAAGTATGTTCAAGTTCTCAATCAGTTACCGTACTATGTGCTATCAAAATCCTTCGTTATGACGATAGCCGTCGTTATGAGGTCATAAACGTTACCGAACATCCAGCTTGGGTTTGAAATGGGCATGGGACCTCTCACCAAGTTTGATTGTTAGACGAATACCGGTAATACGAATCAATAAGAGTTAAAAAATCACAAAATTAATACTAGCACTTTCATTTTTATCATATTTTAGTGCACTTAAAAAAAATTCCGATGTTTTTCCATATTCAGTCCCACGCAATTTTTTAAAACTAATTTCTCTTGTATACACAATTCTAAACCACAGTCAAAAGTTCATATCGACTCCACTTTATCACTTATTAGTGAACTATACTCAAAAATCGTATATTGCATACATTTATAATGATTACAATGTATCATCACTTCGGGTATGTTGAAGTAACTTCATTGTTGCCTTCCTGATTGTATTGAACATAATTGCGTCATGTCCCAGTGAGTCCCACGCCAATCGGTATTTACTGCCGCGTAGTTCACCATAATAATTCAATACACAATAATAAATCAGTCCCGTTGCGCATTTCAGTGGCGATCCCTCATCCCAATCCATTGACATCGCACAAAGATGAGAAAATTTGGTCTGTGGCATTCCGTAATCAAAATCGTTGTTGGTTTTGGAATGAATAAATGACCTCACTGGTTATTTGAATGGTCTCTTATTTTGATCACTATATCATATCAATAAAGCATTAACAAATTTTTCTCACCAAGTCACTATCGTTGCGATGAAAAACAATAAACCGATGGGTTTGCCAGATGAGTAAAAGTCATATATGTATACCAATTAGTTTTTCAACTAATATTAAATTCATACTTCTAAAAACAATCTTACATCACCATCTTTGAACTTCTTTTTTTACATCGTTGCGCAGCTGGATATTGGAATAAAAATGAATTCTTAAAACCTGTATGAAAAAAATGACTCCAAACAAGGTATCTTACACCATAACACATAGCAAATCCATTAAGATCGTATGAATATACAATAGCATAATGAACAGCTAGCTATAGTGCACAACATTTCAAACATTTGTTTGGGATGATAAGTCGCACTTAGTTCTGTGAAAACATAAACATGTTTACAGCAGTAAATGTAATGATTTATTTATACCTGAGGGAAGTGTTCAGAGTAAAAACATTACGTTTATCTAAAATCTACTTATAGTTTCCTAAGAGCAAATAAATTTTTAGAATTTGATATATGAAGTATATATTATTACGTGTCTAAGTACGTATTATAACCTTAGCTGATAAAAGCAATTTGACTCATAGCTGATCTCCAAATAAACATTTTAAAACACCTCCCCTTTTTATATTTGATTTGATCGTTGGGCTTTGAAATGACAAGACCCAATGTTATGACATTGATTTATCACCAAAAGCAAAATTTTCATCTACGTAAATCTATCCCACAATTACGAAATATGACTTATAAAACCCATATTTTCTAACCTTACATTGGATTGTTTCATAAAAATATTGACCGAATGCTGCTTCAGTTTCCAGAATTTTTTTACTTCTTGTTTATGGAGGGATTGTTTTTTGTACAAATAATGTTAATGGTTGTTAATAGCATCAATGCAATATAAACCTGTGCACACTACTATTAGCGTTAAGATGATTGGTCCACGGGGTCACAGGGCAAATTATCCCCAACGAATTTATTTGCAAATTGAAGATATCTGAAAAATCTAAACCTTACACAAATATATATAATATATATTAAAGAGCATCTTCTAGAAGCAAAGTAATATGATGCCTGCCATTCGTGCAACCGTATATACAAAAAATTACCAAAACCAACGTTTCAGTATGTCATTCTGTATATCATCATTTACGCGTAAAAGACATAATTTTAATATCCACAGTGTCATTGATGACATTGTTGAAATCACTAATCACGTTTTTGTGTCCTGTGCACTGTACAGCATCCTGTAGCGATATCATCAAAATCATCACAAGTGATCAATGTCATTATGATAATGCTACGCTGTAAGCTATATGGCATCCGAGATAAATAACAAAAACTACGAAAGGAATATGGCTAACTTCACAGTAATACCGGAAGTGTAATAAGATAATATCAGCAATCAACCTCCATTCGAATATATTTCGGTTAAATTAGTGGAGAACTTTTTTCTTCGTCAAAAGTTAACGTAATAGAGATGCTCCTAACTATTATATACGAAAATATGCTTCTTATAAGAATTTTTTATGATAACAAGACATTTTGGTACCATTCATTATTGCCTATTTTTTAGTATTATTCACGTATCACCTATAACATAAGTATATATGAATACTGGAAAGAATCTCGCCAAATAATGAACACTTTGCTAAATTTACGCTTAGAATAGATCTTGACTGGAGTTGACCTGTTGTACCTGTAGTGCTGTAATCTCTTTCTTGGAAAACATCCTATAAATATTTAAATATTGTCGCTTTCCTTGGTAAACTCATAGTGAATGCTTGTCTCACCAAAGAAATCCGCTTTTATTGGCAGCAATATTAATGAAAAAACTTTCGTCTATTGCCTGCTACGAACGATGTATTCGGTTATGCATTATAGGTTATAGGTTGTTAATCTTCAAATTCCCGAAGGATTTCTTCGTGACTGCATGTTTTTATCGATTTTTCGAACAAATTACCCCCAAAAAATTTGTTAGGCGGGGAAGGGGATTATTGAAGAAGTACGTTAGATACAAAAACAAGAAAGTGACGCTAATGTGAGGCAGAAAACGCGCTTATGCTCGTAAAACAAGTTTGTGGCCTGTCCACGGCTTTTCAATATAATTAAAGCAGGCCATGTTACACGAACTTGTTTGAAAGACATATGTCAATCGTAATCCGTAGAGACGCGGATCGGTGGCGACGACGAAAACTGACGGACGGATATCAGAGTGGGCCAGAATGAGTCAGTAACAAAAAACGCTTCATGAATGCTCATTATTTTTAACCTTTATGTATTGCTATTCAATCAAAGTCTCGCAAGATCATCCAACCTAAGCTACTAACAAACGCCGAAATATAAATATATATTCTAATGACAATATAAGAAAGAATTTACTAATTAAGTTTTAACTTTTTTTCATTGCGTTCAACTATTATGCAGATACTGTTACATTTTTGAGGCAAATAAACATACATACATTTGCTCGAAAAAAATGTACAATTTAAATTACACCAACGCAAGCCCTAACTGGTGACATTTATGCACAGTCTTTCAATTTTTGTATAATATTATTTTCATTTTATTTACTTTCATATTAGAGCAATAAAGGTAAAATAATATAACTTTTATAACGATCAGTAGAGGTTGCGCGAGACTAACTCCCAATCCTTTCTCTATGCCTTTGCGCTAGTGGATCCGTATGCATGTAATGCAAGGATGCTGTAGCAGGAATAAAATACCATAATATGCAATTCGAGAGTCCTGCTGCACACTAACACAAATATATTTCTGTAACGTTTCGTCTGACCAAAATCAGACTTCCTCAGACAAGCAGTTTACAACAATCACGTTACAGAACAAAACAAACGTTACAGAAATATATTTGTGTTAATGTGCAGCAGGACTCTTGAATTGCATAATATAACTTTTGTTTGTATTCTAGTTAATTATAGCGTGGCTTTTCTAATATTACTGAAATAAATAAACAAACTATTCTACAAGTCACTCATAATGTGTATATGTTGCATATTTTGAAATAAATTCGAACATTACGTTCATTCAAACTATAGAACCGGCTGTGCAACTATACTGGTCTGTTCATTCTTGTTTATCTGGATGTTTTACAGGTAATTAAAATTGCGCAGACTAACATCTTGTACCGCTACGTTTGGTTGTTCAATCTTTGTACCGCCATATGTACCTGTACGTTCGCAGTTTAAATTACAAATTAAATGTTTCTTGACAAGTCCATTACGTGGTTAAATTTGAAATTGCTGACGAAATCTTGGCCGAGGTTGGCTAGGCGGTCACAAAGGCTGTTAGGCCTCGAATCTTTTCCATTTCACTATTTGGGCCTACCTCAAAAAACTTTGCCGATCTTCAATATATTAAAACTCTTGGATCAAAGATGGATTTTTTGTACTATTATTCTTAAAAATGTGACAATGTTCTGAACTGAAGCATAAAG